TCTAAGTTCCAGTTACTACATCTATTCAAAAACTTTACGAAACTGGTCCAGAACTAACAGCATACAAGACGAGTTTAATTCCACGATGTAGGTAAGACCAGAACGTCACCAACAAAGGGGCCTCGATTGCCTGAAAAGACATAGGGTAAACCATATCATTTCGTCGATAGTCCCCCCCTCCCCTCGTTTTTTATTTATTTGGTGAATATAGGCGATCTATAAAGCAAAAAATTGAGACTCATTATATTGTAGTCTTTTACGGTGAGTAAGGCCTTCTTGCGGTCAGTTAGTTACAACAGCTGGAGGTATACGACTAGAAAAAAAGAGAATCAGTTTTGTGTTTATAACGAATAATCTTAATTTCGTTTTTAAACCTAGTCAAGTTATTACAGACAGAATAAAGACTAGAGAAAAGGCTATGAACGGTTGAACGAGGTCGCGATGGTGAGATTATGACTGAATTTCAAGCTTTGTATCAATGTGTCAACTTAGTTTCTTGTGAATCATAAAGCATTCCAAATGTAAGATTACTTCGAGTAGATTTTAAGGAAGAAAGTGAGACATGCATACGGCGTTTTTAATATTTTATTTTAAGTAACAAGTGTGACTTAACATTAAGAACACGCTATCAGGGGGGGATCAAACCTTCTCGGTTTTTATCATTCATAAACCCACCTTGTCTCTTACTGAGACCAGAATGAATGTGCTTTTCAAGAAGCTTATATTGGATGAAGTAGCCATTGTTTTTTGCTGTGATATTATCAATTTATGTCAGAGCTCTGTAGTTTCCTTCGAGTATATATATATATATATATATATCTGGTAAGACGCAGTTATAAAAAATAAGGTAGCTGCAACTATTATAATGACCTGTGTGAAGACCCCAAAAAAATGGTAATTGATACCGCCGCAGCTGTAAAGTTATATGCTGTGATTTTTAACTAGATGGCTCAACAGAAAAAAATAGGCTTTAAAAATAAGAACTCGTATATGTTTGTAATCTGATTTAAAGACAATGTCACATGGATTAGGGAAACTAAACATATAAAATGACAATTCTGAAAAATAACTTGATTTTAATTGTATACTCTTTGTAAAATAATGAAAGACTCCAAGGAAAAAAAAAGAAACATCTTATAGAAACCCATTGTGCCCCAATTATTTATATCTATTTTAACCTCACCATCAATTTTTTTTTTAAATATGTATAGCATAACTGTCAGACTACAACAAACGAGAATACATCTTGCAAACGTAGGAATTCCAAATCGTTGATATTTCATAGTTTTTATTTTTCATCCAAATCCTCGTCATTTCATTCTCTTTTTTTTTTTCATAACATTTATAGGCCGTGATAAGGATGATTGCCAGCATTGCTGTTTTTGTTTTATTCTGCTAGTTTCCCCACAGAAGTACTAGAATCTCGATTCATTTCATAGAGGTTTATGATACCTGTAACCCTAGACTTGAGGATCCACCAGGTTGAACTATAACTGCTACCCTGGCATCCTTTTCGTATATCCAATTTCAACACTGCCCTAACCCCCAGACGTACGTGTATACCAAATCTCGCTATCTGTTGTAATCATATATTGCTACTATCGATGACACACTGCTTGCACATATGATTATTCCTGATTCAGAATAGATGAGCCTGTAATACGGTCATTCCGAGTGTAAGATTGATTAAGCAATAACAGTGTATCCCCTTGTCGTCAGATGATAAATCTAAATACTCAGCAGAAGCGTTCCTCAATTATGTCGCAATTATCTAAATATGCCTCTTGAATATTATTCTGATAGGTGTATATCCCGTCCTTTCTCGACTTGATCTTCGTCATATTGATCTTTAACAAACTCTAAAAGCACTTTTAGTAAGACGTTCAATTCCATATCCTCAATTCCAGTTGTCTCCACCACAGTATTTTGATCACGATTATGTCTACATATTCAGATTTGTTAACCTCTTGCGTACAACTCTTTCAATCGTCTATCCTTCAATCTCCCTTTTTTTGCTGGTAATTTTAATATCCTCGTCTACAGATTTGTTTGAATTTTGTTCGCCCAATACAAGCTTTCAAGGGCAAAACTAATGGGTATTCTGTTGCTCTTGTGTAGAAGGTATTTGTGTTTTAATCCACCTAATCGTAGACTGAGGGAATGGCATATTGGTGCGGAAGAATGAGAATAGCTTTTTGGTAAAACGACACATATTGATCCCGCAAAAAGATTCATCCTCATCGCCAGCTCGTTGTGTTTAGATACTATTATTCATAGTTTGCAGGTAGACCATTAAAAAGCTGTAATGTCTTGTTACATGACGGTGAGTCATGTTGGTCGTAAATTTCGTAAAATGCAAAGGAAAATCGTAAGATCTGATTGTGTCATGGTTAAAAAGAATACTATTATTACAGTTTATAACACGACTTTTACAATACAAAGAATGAGTCAGTGATGGCAAAAGCAAGTCCATAAGTTGGTTTTTTGGGGATGGAAAGGAAGGAAAGTTAATCATGGTGAGAACCATTTTTCCTATTTTTTGCGAAATAATCAATTCCGAGCCGGCTTAATCTGTGCACTACAACTTTTTTTAAACGATTCAAACCATTTCTGATTGGAAACCAGCTATTTATGAACAGGTTTGAAAAGCCCCTCAACTCTACAAAGAAAGTCTTTGAACAGCAGTCCAGCCTCAATGAAGAATCAGATAACAGAGTATTACTGCTAAAAATATCGCGGTTAGCCTGTGACAAAGCGACACGGTCTGTTACTTTTTTTGCTGAGACAAAACCTTTTAATAGCGTAGTAGTCAAGTTAATCATAAGGTGAACTCTAGACTAAAAATACGCTTTTTATTGCAATGCTGAAAATATCCTTGTTAGGCTCTTAAAAGCGATAAGTCTTATAGAAGACATCTTAGCTACCAATAGGGAGAATGTAAATCTATTTACACGGTGAAAAGAGGACGCTACAAATAAATGGCTAAGGAACAGTTTCCGACGACGCAGCATACCAACCGGAAGAACTGGTTGGACTGCGGTTGTGTACGTTGCTAAAGGTGTGGAGTAGCTGAACGATTATAAAAAACTTAATCTAGCCAACTCAAACATAATTATTCTTTAGGTGAGGTCATAAAAAAGCTAAATGCAAAGGACGAAGGGTTTGCTAATAGGTTAACGTAGAAAAGTAAATCTCTCAATGGCATGTGAAAGGTATGATTTAAAAATAACATAAGGAAAGCCGTTGAAAAACCAGTGGTTATAATAAAAAATAATTCTTTCTTCGTATTTTATAATGCAACTAAATAATAATTGTCGTATTTGGATACGATTCACTGAAAAATAATTAAACAAATCGTTTAAATAATTGAATTATGAAATTAAAGCAATTTTTGTTGTTGCATATCAGCATACGCTTGTATACTACTATACAACTTCTCCTACTACGAGTACACATACTTCCACATGAAAGATTGCGTGAGTGGCCAAAATATGATATACAAATGATAATGCAACTTTTGCAGTAACTGTTGCATGATCTGATAAATAAGTGTCTCGTAATGTTAAAGATTTATTAGAATACTCGTACTCCTGATCCACTGATATGGGACAACGTTAACTGAAAAATAATTCTTACAAGTAATATCCATTTAACCCAAGGCGGGAAACAAAGTATACAAGCAGGAGAGTTGTGCAATATAAAAAGGATCAATTATTTCATAGCAACAGAGTTCTTTTAGTCCAATAAAGGTATACGTTTATCTAATTATTTCTCAAGTGTATAATTTTTGTCCAATACCACATCCTAAACTCGAGCGTATTCAATCCTCAAAAAAAAAAAAAAAAATTAATCGAGCGAGCTTCGATTTTCATTCCGAACACTAGCTCTTAACTGACTATAGCCCACATTTATTGATAGTCGTAACTTTTTGTATTTGACATCACTTTCACATGCCGTGACCATAAATTCGAGGGGTTTCAACTAAAACACGGTCGTAGCTCGCTCGAAAGTTTGGTTCTTCATTCCGAACACTACTCCATACCAGTATCATGATGATTAAACCTGAATTAACAACGTAAAACTTTTGAATATAAGACTATATTATGTCGTATTTTTTTTTTTTTTATAAAATCATATTGCATTGAATTGAGTACAACATATTGCTGTACCTTTGCTATTAAATAGTATTGGCCGTTGGATCAAGCATCATGCATTCAATTTCTTGTTTGAACCAAATCTTCTTCAACAAAAAAATAAATAAGGACGGCTCGTTGAAAAAATGGGTCATAAAATTTACAAACCATTATGCAAAGTTACAAATTAAACCCTGCAATTTTGTGTCACCAGTTAAACAAAGTTATTACTGTTGCTTTTTTTGCTTTGGAAGCTACTTAGCTATTGAATTGAAGAGGTACTTAACGATATCTGGTAGAATCAGTCCCATGAATCCTTTCAAGTAGATGATCATCTGAGATGTGGCTGTCTGTTTCTAAAATGAGGTGATATCACATTAACAAAAACAGATGTATGGGAAAAGGACGGCGGATATTGATTTCGCTGACAAACATTGTGGCACACACAAAAAAAAAAAAAAAAAAAAAAAAAACTGTATATTTGATTCACATTTGAGCATAATTGGCGACTTTTATTTTAAACATGTTACCGAGCTCATTATTGCGGTTTACGAATAAGCATAAAAGTCAGGGCGGGTTTGGGTATGCTGCACATATTGACACGGTGGAGGATTCATTAAGAGCTTTAGCGTTATTTTTACCTGGTATTTAGACAAAATGTAATGTCTGCCCTTAATGTTTAACAATCCCCTTTTATGTGTAGGTCGATTTGAAGACGGGGACATTTGCTCACAAACAAGTAATAAACTAGGGTTTAAAAAAGTTCAAAAAAAAAGGAGAAGATAGTTTCCTTATATATATGTAATAGTTCTAGCAGGATTGAATTTGGTGTCGTTGTACCATACAAAGTTCTTGGTGCATGCAGCATTACGTAATGAAACAAATGAAAAGGAACACACTTTTAATGATAGGTTTATTCGATACAATATGACGAGAGGGACAAGTAAAGTGGCATCATGGACATTGAGTGTGATATCGTACACAGAGGTTGTGATTGAGATGATTTTAAACCGACGTGTATCGAAACAAATGCGATGGAAATGGGTGGCTAGTTTGGAAGGAATAAAGTAAGTGGCTCATGATGACTTGTTTTTATAATTACTTATCCATTGTGGTCAGAGCCATGTTAAGATTGGTGCTGTTTTATAGTAGCAAGAGACGCATGGTGTTACATCCAACACATTTTATACGAAACATTGATCCAGTGTCACTGGATGTGTGCTCAGAGGAGAAGTTCGAGTTACTAAATTTGGATCCTAGGACAGGAACAGCATTATCAGCCAATCCTTGTGATTCCTCTTTTTCTGTTGGTAGAAGAGGATGGCCACAGGTGGGTGAGCTGTTGTGGATCATTCGACCTTTTATATACGGTAAAGAAAAGAAAGGAATGGATTTTAAAAAATGATGCTAATATGGTTATGGATAGTGTTTATGATTATGATGGAACAGAGAAAGAAGATATCCATGGATACACCAGATGATAACGAGACAAACCCAATCGAAAAGGAGGAAGAAGGATCCTGGAGACCATGGCTTGTTTCTCTCGGTTTAGACGTGATGTCTAGTGTAGCACGACATATGCAACCCATGTCCCTATTAGAAAAAGAAGAATCGAAGCGAAGAGAATATTTATTTGTTTACTATCTTTTTAGAGGTCCCATTTATCTCAAGTATACAAGGTAAGAAACAAACCGGAAGATTTATTCGAAACTCAACTCTTGTAATAGATTGTTATTAAACAAATTTTGCGATGCAACGGAACATCGACCACTTATCTCTGTGATAACAGGTAAGAGAGTCCGGAAAATTATGGTTTATGTTGTTTAATTAATTTTTTGTTTTTTATTTTAGCCGCTATCAATGATTACAGACCTTTTTGGGAAGACTCTTATTTTTATACAGCGGGTTCATAATTGGCCATGTTTTTTATCCCCACACTTGTAAATGTCATGTGCTACTATTTTAACCAATGATAATGCCTTTTTTTTTGTGTTTGCATGAATATAAATGAAAATAGTTTAAAATAGAGTTTTTTTTTTATTGATTATGTACAAGGAGAAGGAGGAGAGGAAAGGAATCATATACTTTGAGAGAGAGGTAGGGGAAAGGTAGGGGGAATGGGAAACAGTGTGTGGTTATGTGTTTGTGAAAAATTAAACACCTCCACAGCTTCTTCCGACGTCATTGACACCAAGACCATCATTCATCTTTTGCCATTTTTTATATCCTTGACCGCTGGAACCTTCTTGTTTCATGATATTAGAATGAGCCTTGGAGGGTTTTGCTTGGCTTCGGATGATTGTGCTTACTAAAGCAAGTGTGGTTACTGGGAATACAACGTAATTAACAAATTTTCCTGCCATTTTAGTTATTTTTATTTTTTATTTTTTAAAGTAAAAAAGAGTGAAAAATGATAACAAGGTCTTTAGTGTGTTATTTATATACGCAACTTTTTTCTTGTCGGTGAAACTACTTTAACTCCCGCTTTTTTTTTATTATTATTTTTATTTTCACAAACCTCCTAGATCTGCCTCTCAGATAACGAAATGCCCAATAGGCTCTTCTTGATAGATATCATAGAATAAATCAGTCGATTTTTTTAGTTTGCATAGTAATGATTCATCGTCATCATCAATCTCCATTTCATCTGATTGATATTTCTCTTGTGCACTGAAAATAGAGTCCTCCAGTAATCCCATTTTTTTAAGGAATGCACCGCTATGTGACTCTATCAGAAGAAGAAGAAAAAAGAATTCAATATGACGTAACATCATTTTTTTTTTTTTTTTAGAGGGAGAATAATTACCTAGCACTGGCGGTTGAATGAATTTATCAAACAGCCTAGAAAGTAGCGCTGCTTCCGCTTTGAACAGCGCTGGAGGGAAAATGCATTGTATAGAAAAATCAATGATGGTGGAAGACACTGTTGTAAAAGCGAATTTTAGTATGGAATCCAGGCGTTTATCTGTATACAAATATATTACCGCGTGAAAGTTTCATTATAATTGGACAGGCAGGAAATGCAGCCAAAGTAAACAATGCTTGCTCGGCACTTTGTAAGATACGCTTCATGTCATCCCTAGATTTGGTTAGGGCCTCCCGACCCCAATTAAAATTAGCGTGATTCGTTTTTTTAAAGAGAGATTAAGGGCGTTCTAAAACTCACATAGTACGTCCTTCGTTTAAAACACTAGATAAAATCATTCTATAACTTTGATCGGTCATGTGTAAATCTACTAAACATCGGATATGAATTTCTTTAAACTTGATAAAAGGTGACTTTTTGAGAAAAAAAAAGTGTTAGGGATGTATGATTTTCATGCATATGTATATAAAAACTCCTTTCTTTACCAGCATTTCATCTGGTGATGATGATTTGCTCCTGAATAATCTAGCAAACGGGTATCTTCCGCTTTTATCAAACAACTTTTGTTTGTGATACGAATCTATCAATCGTTGTGATACCTGTTCCAACCCTCTTCTTTGAATAGTTGTCAATATATCTGGACTGCAAGGCATTACAAGGTGTAAATCATCCAAATTCATCTTGGCGATAGGGAATCGAAGTGGTGGGGTTTGATTCTCGTCAACGGACATAATGAGAGTAGCGGATACTTGTATAGGTAATTTAACCTTTTCGAGATCCAATTCAAAATCTCTTTCCCACATGGAAGCACGCTCTATGCCATTTTCGTAAGTTGGTTCGAATCCCATGACAGAGACTGTTCTGGTTGTGCTATATCCATCATGACGTGGGAAAAAACCTAGTTCAAGGTCCCAATTTTCCAATTCCAGAAACCGAGATGTTTGAATCTTGATGCGTAGATACGCAGTGGAATATAAACTGCTGCTGCAGTTGGCGATAGATTCTGGTTTGGTGATAGCCCGCATTGTAAATTCAAATCCAGTGGTTTCCAACGAATGACAGACACCTGGTGTTCGCTTTTGTTGGATACTTTGTAAAGCATACAAGGTCCTGTTCGTAGAAACAAGTCGACGAGATAATTCTTGCTCGGCACAATCCAAGCGTTTTAATTCGGATTCTTTGGATGTTAAGTCAGCCAAGGAAATTTGGATTAAATCTGAGATGGCATCCGGATTATTTGCAATTGACACTGGTGTAGGATCATATTCGTACGTCATCATCTGGACGTTTCCGTTTGATTGGTCAAATAGCGAATCAAACGTGTATGCTACCGCATCACGCATCCTGGTACGTAATATGGGAGCATGATGATATTTGACACGCGTAGATTGTAGCTTTACGCTGTCATTTTTGCTATATTCAAACTCCAACATGGATATCTTACCATTTTGTGAACAAACAAGATAAGTGGAGTCCTAAATGATATCATTAACTAAATGCATGAATAATGCGTATAAGTCAGGTTTCTGTTTTTTTTAATACCTTGTGTGCTTTATCAAAGGAATAAATCGGGCCTTGTATGTTAAACTCATTCAGCTTCATTGCCGTCTCTGTGGGTTCATTGGAAGCTTTTGAGTAAACCATGATAGTACCTCCATCCCTATCAAATGAATCAACATGTTTGTTCTGGATAATGTAATAATTTCACTAGTTTTACCCGACGGCGATTAAAGTATTCAAGTGGTTTGATAAAATCGGTACGCATACAAGTTGAACATACTTGACTTTTTCGGAATTGTCAAACACGATGGCTTTGGTGTCTTGCATGGTGTCAAAATCACGCCAAAATACGAAACCTTGGTTGGTGCCATAGATCATGCCATTTTTACTAGAGTAGATTAGCTTGAGAGAGAGGTGTGTGTGTGTGTGAAGAGCTTACATTGTATGCAAAGAGAAAAATTTGGTGAAGCAGATATCCAATTGTTGAAAATATTGATGATAAGTGATTTGATGATCGTTTAGATGAAACGAAGATAGTTTTTTCAAGTTTTCGCTTTGTGGATTATAATGATGTGCTTCAGTGCCCGAGAATAAGATGACACCAGGCTCATAAAAAGACATGATGTGATACACATTGTCTGTTATCTATAGTTCTATTTTAGTGCTGTTTTCTATTTCTGTTTTTACTTCTTACGTGGGTATAATATTCTTCCTGTAGGGTTCTGTGTGAGCTTTCTTCAAGCTTTATGCGTTTTCTGGCAGCATGCTCTCTAAAGAATGTTTAATACCGTAATCAATCTTTTGTTTTCGTATCTCACCTTTTAGAAGAGATCCATTCGAATACTTCATTAGTGACACTTCGAAAATAAAAGTGACAGGTCTCGGGATTATTTTGACAGGATACAACCACTTGCGCAATGGCGTTAGGAAATTTCAACTTGATGGGTTCCTAGATCAGAACGTAAAATAATGTTGGTTGTGGGGGCATAGTGTTTACATGAGGCAGATGTTACTTTGGTGGAATGGACAGATCCGTTTTCGGAAATGGCAAATGCTAACTCATGAAAGGAACAACCAAATAGTTGACAGGATTTCAGGTCTTTTGACTGTAAGTCGGTATAGCCGATGAGTTGTGTTTCAATTTGTTCCATGGGGTCGAGTTTAGGTGGAAGAAAGTGCTGTTTCTTATTAGAGCGCAGTCAAAAATAAACAGTATGGGGAGGGGAGGGAAAAGCAAAAATAGTTTATTTATAACAGTAAAAAAAAAAAAAAAAAAAAAAAATTACTTTAATCTTCTAGGATCGTTTTGATAATCATCAAGGGCTTCGCCTTCTTCAGCGCTGGAATAACCCTTGGAAGTATGTCTCTGTTACATTGGAATTAATAAAATATCAGGAATGAATTATAAAAAGAGAGGGTTACCTTTCTTCTCTTCTTTGCTCTCTCTTCTTCACTATCGCTGCCATAATCCTTTCTACGACTACGTCTACTACCACGACGCTTTTCGTGTGATTCATCCTCTTCTTTAATCATACCTTCTTCTTCCTCTTTGATCATGCCTTCTTCCTCCTCGTCTTCATCCTCCTTTTTTTCCTATTAAAAAATCACACATTTAGTTTTATTTTACATTAAACAAAACAAATGGAATGGACATTTTACCTTAAGACGACACAAAAACTTTTCGAAGACTTCTTCTTTTAAAGCTTCTTCTTCAATATCTTTATATTCTTGCAATTCCTCGACACGGGGCTTGATAGACTCCCAAGTATCTTCTAATTGAACGGGAGGTTGTAAAGCGTGCTTCAAAGCATGTCTAAACATATCCAGCTTTTTTCTCATCTTCTTTTCTTGGCGACGTTTCTCATCCTTTAATCTTTGTGCGGCCTTGAATTGTAAATGTTCAAAAATGAAATTCAAGTTTTCCTGACTGATATCTGACTTGACTTTTTCATCCGCATCCAAAGCCGACATGTAATCCTCCAGGGCGGTTTCGGTATCCACTTCAAAATCTGCTTTTTTTAGGGCGGCATAGACAGTCTTTTTTTGGTGGTATAGTTGTTCATCCAAATCATCAATGACGTCCCAAAACATATCTAGAGGGGTTGAATCGGGAAGGCCCACTGCAGATATATAACGTGAATCATCCTTAATCAGCGGGTAAATATCTTTCCACAATGTACGTACGTTAATTTGATTATTAGATACTAATTCCTGCAATAAGTCCTTTAATGCCCAAAGTTAGTCAATCCAGAGTGTATTTTGCTATTGTTTTGTTTTTTACTGAATAAGAAAAAAAAAAAAAAACCTTACCCTGAACCCTTCTCTTGCCTTTCTTTCCTTTCTTCTCCGTTGAAAGATCTTTTTATTTATTTCGCTGATGGGTTCCTCCCAAAGAGATCTATTATATTCTTCAAAGACAGATAAGAAATCTAACATATCCATACCTTGAAACGCATCAGGATTTCTTCCTTCGGGCGTATTTTGATACAGATATTGGGCTTCTTTCCAAGAGGTTTTATATGTGATTTCCGGTATCGAGTGTAATAATTTGCTGAATTTTTCCATGCTTGCTTTACGTAAATCTCTTAAACGGTCCTTTTCTTCCCGTTGCATCGTTTGAATGTATTCATCGAAATAGATTTCACATTGCTTCTCGGATTGAATGTCTGTGAATGCCGGTAAATGACTGCAGGTTTTAAGGATGGTGCGGAATCGCGTGTAAGGTTTAATACCCGGTTGCTTTTGAAGCATGGCCATGAATAATGACTTTTGTCGCGCTTCACGTTGCTCTCGTTCCTCTCGCTCTCGCTTGGCCTCTGCATCGACAAAGGCATGGAAGGCGGATTTTCGTTCACCGATGGTCTTTAAAGCTTTGTATAAGGGTTTGGTGATAATAGCGCGTTGTGCTTGTTCCCAACTCCAATCTGATTTTACACCCTATTTTTGGATATTGTAAATACATCTATAAACATGAGATTTTGTAAGATTATACACTTACAGTTTCCTTAAGTAGGCCAAAAAAGGCTTCTTCAGCAAGTTCTTTGGTGGCGTATTCGGGAAGAGGTTGAGTGAAAGTGGCAGACAAAGGTAAGACAGCGGGAGGAGCTCTCATCGATTCCTGTGCCATAGGAACTGCTGATGTCAATGCTTGACTATAATTTATGTAATGGATGAGTAAATGAATGAATCGAATTACGACTGGAAGATACTTTACATTTCAGCGGCAAGTTTCTTGGCCTTTTCCAGTTGCTCTACAGAACTAAAGTTGATATAAGGGAGGAATAAATAGTTTATAAGACATACCTTTTAAATCAGCAGGAATCTCCCACACGGTTTCCTTTGTTTTGATATTGCTATAATATTTCTTGCCTTCGGGTGTAGTATATTCTTTCCATGAAGAGCCCTTTAAAATCTTTTCTTCGGGCGTCAATAAATCCTCGGGCTTCTCCCATGTACTTGCACGAGTCAAGTTGTTGTACCAGTATTTTCTTCCTTCAGGTGTTGTATGTTCCTTCCAAATGGTCTAAATAAAGTAAAGATGAGCATTTTTCAAAAGGTTTGGACAACGTTCAATTAGTTTTTATGTATATATACAGCAGGATCCAATGGAGGAGGTCTTTGCCATGATACGTTGGGTGAATTGAAAGGAGGACCTTGAGGTGAACCCATGACAGGTGATCCGCCATACTGTTTCAAAAAGGTATTAGCTGCATGTAGAATGTTTAGGCATGATTTACTTACGGGTGCTTGTGAAAAGTTTCCTTGTGGTGGTGGTCTATACATTAGGGCCTTTTTTTAAAAATAATAAAAAAATATGTGGAGAAAGAGAAAAAAAAACTTTGAAGCGGACTGCCCTCCCCTAGGATTCGTGTTCCGTACAGCGGCGTTTGATGTCAAAATGTACCACAATGCATTCTTAGTGTTAAAATGTAACTTTCATATTTTAAAACTGATTATCAAGCAAAAATGACTGAAATTTTTAGAATATAGGGTATTGCCTCTGTGAGTGATAATGATATTGTATATTCCATGCATAATTTATAACAAAAAACTCCCCAAACTCTAGGTTTTCGATAAAATGACGGATAAAACTCTCCGTTCAATGCAAAGAGAGAGAGTCTTTGACGGTGAAAAAAGTGTTGTCAATAACGTAGTAATGCAAATTTTTTAGTGAGTTAGATCCAATGAAAAGCAGGTAAAGTGTATAGGTGAAAGAGTATGAAAGGTATCTCTCGTAGGTACCGTGCAAAAAGTAATCATATACAGTTTTCACACTTTTAAATTCGGACAATGTTAGTTTTATTCAAACGAAAGAAAATTACTTTCATACATTGACCTACCTTTTTCAGACGAAATAAAATGGAGATTCAGACATAAATAAAATCAGTTTTCAGATAAGTTTGGAAGAGATAATTTGTTTACCTGCAGTTATCTTTAAGCTGTCACCGATGATGGTGCAGCAACCACACTGGATGTGGCGCTTTGTCTTTGAAAGACACTCGGAGACCCATTACCGTTCCAAATAGAGGTAACAATAGTAAACATATTTCTCGATGCTAAGACGTCTCGGTTCCAAAAGATAATACAATTGTTGCAGTTTAATATCTGATAGATTTTGTGACCACCACTTTTCAGACTTTCCAAGTTCTTTACAAGACAGACATTGCATGTCTAAAAAAAAGTGTTTTGTTATTAATACTTGTTCAAAATGACCATCTATTTATTTCACCTTGGAAGAGTCGTATTCGTCGATATCAAGCAGTAAAAATTCACCCAAAGTCTCGCCACTTTAGCTGTCTGTACAGCTTATTGACTACTCCATGCCTTAGACCTTTATATCGGTCAATCTATTTCCAATTATTACTATTGTCATTTTGTCTTTGTCCCTTCTTCGAATTTTTTTATAAAGCCCCTTAAAAGAATAGAGTGGTTGATGTTTCTAGAAAGAAATAAAAAGCAGTTTTACCTAGCCACTTATTTACATACATGACCTAAATAATTGTTTGACATCTTCGCTAACAAAGTCAATACAAAGCACAGTGACATTATCCAAAGATGAAACAGGTAGTTCTTCTCTACAAAAAGAAACTCCACGCGTATAACCATCGATATAGAAGCTTTTTACCCACATCTGATGAAAAAATCAAATTATTTAATTTTTAGATATATTTTCTTTTTCATGTTCCAAACAAAAGGATACATTAATAAAAAAAGAACGGCAAGAATGATGCGGGCATAGCCTACTAACTAAACCTACTAAACATCGAATACAAAACTGCCAAAAATCAAGGTATATCGAATGACAATGAAAGGCTATACCTTTGCTAATTGAATTCAACAAAGGCAAAACAACAAGTGTTGGCCAACTTAGCTAATTTTGCGCATGACCCCATCAATTATAACAGCCTTTGGGATTTTCAAGTAGCTTCTATATTCTTATGTAAGCTTTACATTATAGGATGCGAACTTGTGTTGATGAGTTATTATCTGGCCATAATCGATCCTGATCCTTTGCTTCAAGAATTTGGAATGGCTGGGTTAGCCAAAAATGTTTAGATAACAAATCATTGTCTAAATGACAAGCGCGACGTTACTCATTTTTTCCCTTGGACAATAGAGAAGCGACACCACTAATTCATTATATCAAAGGAGTCATTTAGAGATAATAAAGTTCGTTGTCTTGACGGAGCAAGCTCAAATAATTTTCTCGTAAACGCGATGACAACACTTACGCAACTTCTAACAGCCGAAAACTACACAGGTATATGAGTTACTTTTAATTGTTCTATACGTACCAACCAGTCCGAGAAAAAAATCTAGTGATATTGACGGATGAATTAAGGGAAAGCTCACTGAACATAAAAATATATCAACGGTACAAACAAGCGGTTATCATGGCTGATGTATTTCTGCAGGATTATTATCACTTAGCTCGAAGGCCGTCTACCAAATTTTTTAAAAACATGGTCTTGAGCAACTAAATCGCCCTTAAATACCCTTTCATACAAAACGATATCCCAGCCACGAGGGCCACCAACATCTTGAAAGTAGGCATCGGCCGATTGCTTTATTTTATCAAACACACCATATTTGGAAACCGATTCTTGCTATAGACTTTGTTGGATGGATGTTGCATTTTCTTCATCCCAGTAGGCCAAAATGATATGGTTTAATTTTTTTCAAGCGCAATAAAACCACCTGTTTACATTTTCCTGCAATCGTGGTCATCGCTTCTCTGTATTCTTCAGTCGAGGTGATTGGCAATAGCAAATGAACCGGGAGGTTTGTTTTTCCATCATGGATAAACAAAGGCTTACATACTTGAGGAGCCACGATGAATCGCGTGGTTTTTAAAACTGTATTCATCTCATTTTTGATCTCTTAACTATCTTCGACTTTGAAAACCCTTACCATGGTGATGTGACAGCCATATTTATCAGCATTCCATCCTCGCGTCGCTTCTGTCTCTTTCAAAAAGAATCCACTTGTTCTTTGAACTATGAACTTGGTTCAAGATAAATGATTAGTTCCGTTGTCATTTTAAATAAAAATGGGAAGACTTCAAAAAGAATGGGCACGCGAAAATATAATAGCCCAAAAATCTGAGTTTGTAAGTGTTGCTTATAAAAAATGCATTTCCAAGTTGGCAATCATCTTAATTGATGCAGGTCCATAGAAAATGGATTAAGAACTGGTTTCCGTAATGCCAATGACATCAATGAATTGAATCAGACAAATATAATCGCTGTATATCAGATCTGTGAATGGCTCACTTTAACCCTTTTATGATCCTTGCCTAAAAAGAAAGCTGTATGCAACGGAATTTTAATTTTTAGTTACTGCGCACTTTTTGCATATAAATACGCCAATTGTTTTTTTGGCGTAAAAATTCTTTTTTCTTCTTCTTTTTTCCTTTGAAGAAAGCGACACAAGAAGTAACCAAACCCCTCCGTTGCCGAATTCAGTGTACCTCCCCTTCGATACATACATATATATAGGTGAATATATAGGTGGGTGAATGTTTGGTCCGGACGTTCGACTCATTCACTTCGGTTCTGCGCGGTTGTATTTCTGAGCGAGACTACCATATCTCAAACAACGTCCAACACTCATATCGTGTGATTCCCAGTATTCGGTTATTTTCCTCGGGGGTCCGTCCCAGCACGGTAGAAAAGTCTCGGAGCAGTTCCGTCGCTTCCTGGTCCTCCCTTTTTACTAAAACAACCCTATGTTTTTTCGTGGCAGCTTTGGTCTGTTGCAGTAGAGTTTAGTCGATTATTTCTTGGACTGAAAAGGCTTCCTTTTCTTTCCCCTCTTTGACACGTCTACCACCCCTAATACACCATCCCCTTCTATTCTCTACGGAAGCGTATATTGGCAAACCTCCTCGTGGTGCTTCTGGAAACACTCTTCATGAGTGGCTAATTGCCAAAGTGTCTTTTATTTTTTAATTAATAAAGTCGTCATTCCTCATTAAACATTACTTTGTCTTCAGTCTTTTTAAAATAGTATTAATTGATATACAAGTCTTGTCTACCGTGGGTAAGAGTTGGTTACTACGCCAATATGGCGATTAACATTTATGCTAAAGGATCTACATTATGAGTAAGGCGATGAGGACTTCCTCTATTAAACTCATGACCCATTGCAAGCCTTCTCTTTTATCATTCAAGTCTCTCTTTGTAAAAACTTGTAGTCCTTTAAACGATTTAAACATAACTGCAAGAGAGTAGTTTAATGGTTCTCTATAAAAACCCAAAAGAGCTTGTACAGAACCAGTTTTATTACCCATTAGCCAGCTCACTAATTCCGACATAAGCAGAAAAAGGTTTCCTCTGAAATGCCGTTTCAGTTGTCAATGTTACTCGCTTTGTAAAAAAACCTCTTTGCTTTGTAACCATGGCTACTCATTATGATCTTCTTCACCTAAAAGTACCGTCACTTATTGATCGACACTGCTGTATTTGGTAGAAGAAACACAATTCTTTGGCTTAACGATCGTGTCCTTAAAGGTTGCTCCACAGTGTCCTCATCGTCGTCTTCAAGTTGCAAAAGCTTATTCTTTACAATCAACTAACTCTGTATCTCCTTAACACGCTAGTCGGAAATATGCCTAATTATTTTTAAAATGTAAGGGTAATGAATAAGTGCTGTTTATAAGGGTATACTCAGTAACACATAGACTAGCTGAGTGATTTACGGATAGGCAGCCAATCAAAGTAATTGCACATGGAAAAGAGTTTGAACTTGTACTGTGTTAAAAAGCAGTAGATTGCACGGGTAAATAAAAATCAGTCAAGCAAGATTAAATCGTAATTTAATAGTGTTCAAAGAGAACATTTCATGGGAGTGAGAACAGTAAGGTCTGCCTTAGCTTTGGCTTCCGATATGTACTTTCCGCATTATAATCTTGTGCCAATACATGAATATTCTGCATGATTAACGTTACTTTTACGCATAATTGGTTCAAAGCGTTTGATAAACAATGTATGAGGTGGATGGCTTTAACAGCATACGATACAAAAGAGCTTGGTATCTACTTATGCATATAAATCATCAATTCGACAACGAACTTTAATTCTGAATCATGAAACGAAACATAGCAACCGGTATATAAATAAGAATGACTTAATTTATAGATGGTATACATATGTCACTCCAAACTTAAAGCAAACTTATACAGGAACAAACAAATTCAGCTGTTCCTGAATTAAATTGACAATATGCCCTTTCTCACGCAGTCTATTTTTTTATTGTTCACTGACATATCAATATGTCAAGGAAAGAAACTTCTCATTCACAAGGTATCATTGTCTTTTGTGGTTATTCAATTGAAAAACCAAAAAAAAGGCGTAACCAAGGGGAGAGGTCAATCAGATATATAGTAGCCCTCACTGTCTTACCATGCCGTCAAAGAAGTTAGATGATTCACTATAACCTTTTGTCCATACACTTTACTAGAAAAACCATAATAATATCGACACCGTGATTTCCTGCACTCAAATGACGTGGTCTTCATCAGCTGTCCTACTGTTTGCTGTTCCGCACTGTGTCATTACCGTTTCAGGTTATGTAGCTTTTTTTTTTTTTTTGTAAAGAAAATCCCCGTATTTTATTTTATTTTGGATATCTTTGCAAAAAAAAAAGAGAGATAGTTGACTTGAAGATGCTACGCGCCCTTAAGATACGAGAACTTAGGCTGGGTGTAACAATACACTGTTGATTGGGAGCTTATTTTATCAGGATTTTCCTTTTTTATATAATTTACCAAGCTCTCTTGGGCCGCTTGGCCGGAGAAAGAAATGACCTCACCCTCACGGATTAGGGAAATAAAAAAAATAAATAATTTTTGTTGTTGTTATCCCTTTTTCTTCTTTTTATCTCCAACCCTTTTTTATTTTATTTTTTATTATGCCAACATTATTCTCCCTTGCCAAGGTGGCTATTGTTGCCTCTTGTGTATTTGGTGTAAGCTTTGCGGAACCCGCCTTGTTTAACCAACAAGACGCTCTTGCTGATTTCGGAAGAGAGACCTGGTCTGACGTCCAACAAGTTTTCCAAACTTCTGCCGACAAACTCCACACAGCAACAGATAAATTAAAGGAAGTTTTGTCTCATGGAGCAGATACTTTTACCACTGCTTTCCATCATCCTGCTTTCCCTGAATACGCTCTCCGATACAAGAAACCTTCCCTCTGTGATCCTGATGTGAAACAAGTAAGGGCCGCTCATTTTAATGCAAAACTCTTTTTTTTTACTCACGCATTAAAATAGATTTCTGGTTACTTGGATGTTGGAGCTGATAAGCATTTCTTCTTTTGGTTCTTTGAATCTAGACATAAACCCTCCAAGGATCCCGTCGTCCTTTGGTTAAACGGTGGACCTGGTTGTTCTTCCTTGACTGGTCTCTTTATGGAACTTGGGTAAATGAAAATATCACACGGAAAAAAAGTGATTTTATGCTAATCATGCTTTTTAAATTACTACGCATAGTCCTTGTACTGTTAATATGGAAGGTACTGATACCGAAATCAATGACTTTTCTTGGAACGATAAGGCCAACGTCATCTTTTTGGATCAACCCTTAAATGTTGGTTACTCTTACGGTAGTGGTGGTGCTTCTAACACCGATGCTGCTGCCAAGGATGTCTATGCTTTCCTTCAACTCTTCTTTAAGGAATTCCCTAAATATGCCGACCTTGATTTCCACATTTCCGGTGAATCTTGTAAGTTGGGTTGTTCTTTTCGTGTAATGCGGAAGCAGTAAAAAAAGAAAGAAATCTCCGCTCAGGGAGATGGTTTTGAACTACAGTGATTGACACTTTCTCCTAAATATTAGATGCCGGACATTATATCCCTGCTATTGCTGGTGTTATTAACCGCAACAACCAAGGCAAATTCAACTCTGTTGAACTTTACAAGAAGAAGCATACCTTGGCCGATGTGAACTTAAAGACTTTATTGATTGGTAATGGTTTAACCGATCCTTTAATTCAATACAAGTACTACTCCAAGATGGCCTGTGAGAACTCTTACGGACCCGTTTTGGATGACGCCACCTGTGCACAAATGGATGCTAATTTCCCCGCTTGTGAAAGATTGATCCAAAACTGTTATGATAGCCAAAACGTCTTCTCTTGTCTTCCTGCTGCCATGAAATGTAACAAGGATCAAATCTCACCTTATCAACAAACCGGTATGAACCCTTATGATGTACGTGAAAAGTGTAAGGGAGGTAATCTCTGTTACGAAATCTTGGGCAGTGTTCAAAAGTACTTGAATTTGCCCGAAGTGAAGGAAGAAGTAGGCGCTAATGTGGATAAATATGAATCTTGTAACATGCAAATCAATTTCAGATTCCAAATGGCTGGTGATTGGATGCGTCCTTATGTCAATGAAGTACCCGAACTTCTTGAAGATGGTGTCAAGATTTTGATTTATGCTGGTGATGCTGATTATATCTGTAACTGGATGGGTAACAAGGCTTGGACTCTTGAATTGCCTTGGTCTGGTCAAGAAGAATTCGCCGCTGCTAACGATACTGAATGGTACTCCGATATCAAGGGTAAAAACGCTGGTGAACTTCGTAGAACCGAAGACGGAAGATTTGCTTTCTTGCGTGTCTTTGGTGCTGGTCACATGGTCCCTTATGATCAACCTGAAGCTGGTCTCGATATGTTGCAACAATGGATTCGTGGTGAACTTTATTAAATCATCTATATACATACATATATATATATTTTTTTGGGAAATAAACACACTGTATAAAAACTACGTATGTCTTGTTTTACTCATGGAGCTTGGTTTATTAAGGATTGTCAATAAAAGAAAGACTACGCTTCTTTAATCTCCTCCACAAACTCTTCTATTTTTTCTGCAGCGGTTGGCTGTAATACAGTAGGCTCATTCTTTTTGACGTCCTCCTTGTCATTTTCTTTCCACATATTTGGGACCTTAATCTTTACAAATGTTGGATAGACCAACTTATCAATGTAAACGTTTCTCAATTTGGTTTGTATCAAGTCTCTTAATTTGGGAATATCCTCAAGCTTGGTTCTGGATCCAATTAATGACTCTACTTTCAGATCCAATACAAAATCAGAGTGTGAGGAGATGGCAATGTAACGTTCTAATGGTATTTCTGGTTTGGTTGTGGTAGCAGGTGGACTGATCAATTCAATTGTTAACTACAAGAAGGTAATGGTTAGATCACACCATTTCAATCCATCTTATATTCACATACCGTCCCTGAAAATCGAACGACGGATAGCACCAAAGATATTGGAAGAGCAGCAAATGCTTGTTTTGGCCAATTCAATATTAATTGTGTTTCTATCCCCAAAGTCACTTGATCATTGTACTCGAAATCAATCTCTGCTCGCATGGACCCTATTTCGTCAGATCTTCTGATTCTCGCATTGTTGAAGATCGGAAATTCCTCCCCCAGGTTTAATTCAGTCACATGAATAGGGCCCAAGAAGTTGGGTTTCACCCCTCCATTCAATATATCATCCACAGCCAATACAAGTCGATCATTGATTTTGGCATCTTCTCGGTACTGAAGAATCGCTTGCGCTAATAACACGTTTAACCAATCAGTACTTTCAGGTGGATGGTGCATCATATCGTAGTATGTTTTCGATGTAATGTGGTCATTGGGTAAGGGTATTGCTGCATTAATTCGAGAAGGTGGCGTGCTAGATAATCGGGAAGGGATATAACGCTGATTTATTATATAAACAACACGTAAGCTTTTTCTCACTCTATCATCCATACCACCACCTATATATTTTATCTTACCTTTTTTACGCCTTTGACATCCTCTGTAAATAGATATTTTAAAACAAGTATGACCACAATCACCACTGAACATTGTCCGAGTACGAATCCTTTCAAAAATGACATGGTACTGCTTCTCGCACACGTAATCGTTGTAAGTTGTGTTTTCACCAGATCAAGAATCTGTAGTGCATTGACAGTTTCTGGATGCACCGTTTCCATTTTCTAATAATGTGCTTTATTACCCCTAATGTTTCTATAACGTAAAGAGAGAAAATAAAAAATAAAAAAATAAAAAATTCAAAAAATTATTACAGCGGGGTACATTGAACAGCCGCTTCTGAGGGAGCCTAACGGCTTTTAATTGTTAGCTGCTTAACTTTTCTTTTCATGCATTCTATTCATCTCATGTAGTTTGAAAAATAAATACATTACAGCTGGAATAAGATGACCGTCTTTCTAAGTTGTTCTTTGAATTGAACTTGGCCTTACATAGTATCTCCAGACAAACGATTTCTGAGATGGATGTGGTACTACTTACTTTTTGATAAAATGCTTGTATATTAGCTTTATCAATCATTCAACAAATGTCTCTACTTTTTATCTTTTCAGGTCAGGATAGAAGGTAAATAAAACGATATATAAAGTCGGGGGTTGTACCATGAGAAATCATTAGATCAATCACCAATGTTTCTTTCATAAAAGCCATTTGTGGGTAAATTTTATTTTAACAGCGATGTATCTACACTTATAAAGCGTGATGATTCTTTCATAATTTTTTAACTAACTTGTATCTTTCGAATTTTGTCAGTTACCTTGTGCACATTATATTGTTTATCAGCGCTTCAGAAGCAGCATGTAGTATTATCGAAATGTATTTTATGAAATCGACTATTATCTCAAAGCTCACCCTAAAAAAAAGAAGGTAACAATATGTCACGTATCCAAATAGACGCAGACTTTTTTTAGAATCATAAATGTAGTATCTTGTTACTACTTTGGCTACAATACAGGATTATAATTGCTACATGTATATTTAACTGCTACGCCATCCGTTAATGTGTATGTATTAGCCAAAAGCATGAAAAAATGTCATGGATACGATCTCCCATGCAGGAATTGAAAGAGCTTATAACTTGGATTTTCATTGTGAGTAGGTACATCCCTATCGGACCAGTGTAATAAAACCTTCCTCAGCTCAAAATAGACTGACGCATTCGGTCTGTTTTTTTTGGTTTTATACCAAAAAATGATTTGCATGAACCTACTTTTCATACTCCGGGCAACATTTGGGTGTATATCCTAACTTTCCTTTCTATTGATGATTGTCTATTCTGGGTTGATATGAACAGCGACCTTTTGATCATGCTGATACGTAGTTAGTTACTTTTTAGCAGAAAAATAAAAGAGTATTTAACAGTTCCGTCATACTATTAAACAGTTATTAAGCTCATAACGCTGTAAATTAAGGTGTAATGAATACCATCACTAAAAGAAATGTTTTTGTGGATGATGTACAATAAGAATGGTAAAAGCTTTGTAATTTTGTAATTCTGTACCTCCATTTTGATATTTTTAGTTTGATGAACAGCAGCATTATTTCAAAATACATCTTTGCATGACTGTCTCACCAAGAATCACATATAGTTTTGTAACGACTCTATCCAAATATCACTTGTCAACTTCTTTACCTCTTGATCTATTTTATATTCATGCAACACCATCCATGTTTTGATATTCTAAAAACCTGTAATTTGAACCGAAGCATTTAAAAAAACTACTCTCAGAGGTGTATACGTTATTACCAGACGTATAACATGAATAGCCTTGCTAAAAACATACACGCAGTAGCCTTTACTTTTTAGCTGCTTAATTTTCCATCCAATACAACAGCTAGGAGCAATCTGATTGGCTTAAAAAGTGCTTGCGTCAGCGGTGTATGAACCTGGGTATAAAGTTTCCCCAGATTTTTTTTTCTCTTTTTCTCCTTAATAGTGATTCTATGGGTAGTCTTCCGTATTGATTAAATCAATTGAGAATTGCAATGCCTCACTTCGGTAAGGTTATTGTACATTCTCACACTACGAACCCACCAGTAACACGATTTCTTTCTTTTTATTTATAAAAAAAAAGTCTTCGTGGATTGAGGGGAATGAGGGAAGATGGACGACGTATACTGTGAAGGTTCCCGAAGCCCCTTAGTAGTTTAAGTCAACGACTTTTCCTTTCCTTGTGTTGGGTAACAGGTACTGGTGCCTCACTTGCTTTTACCGTGAAAGGAGGGGTTCGTTTGACTGCCTGTTATGAACGGGTTCTGCCCACTAGATTTTCTACGGACAAGAACATGTATTTTTGTCAATAATAAAGAGTGCAAACAAGAAAGCACAAGATCTTGTTTATAAGTCGCTATTATTAATGCCAACTTTACTGTTCTTAAAAGGTGCGTGCAAACACCTCATATTTTTTTTGGGACCAGACGTGCTTTCACCTTCTCGTGGTTGTTTGTCCTGTTAATCATTGTAGCTTTTACTAAAAAGTTACCTTGAGAACTAAGAGAAGCACACCTTTCTTTTTTTAAATAAATAAATAAAGCTGTTCAAATAAAGTATAAAGTAATAGGCTCCAAGTTATAATAGAATGCTTGATTCACCCGTCAAATTCCGTTACAGACATTCATTGCTCAAGAAGCTGGTTCTAAAAAGAAGTGCCTTTTTCTTTTGAAGAGAAGCATGATTACAATGTGCTCTCTAAACACACAATCTGTTTATTTATAAAGTTTTTTTATTTCTTTTGTTCTTCGTTCCAAAAGTCTTCATTAGGATGATTCCCGAAGATGTCAGGTTTCGTAGCTTTTGTTGGGATACTGGAAGCTGACAATTAGTTCTGGGTAACATCACCTTCCCCACTCGGTATATGGAGCTAACGGTCTGGGGGGATACTTGACGAGCAGCTGAAGGTGAATTCAACCTCACTTTTTACGGTAAGGAGCATATGTCAGACGCCCTAGCTTGAGAGCTGGAGTTGCCTTGGTGTATCAAAGCAACATTCCACTTACCGGTCGCGCACTCCTGGGTTTGTAAGAAACGGGTCCGTCTTCGGTTTAGTCGGTCATTGGTTTGAAAAGAAGTAAAGCTCTGGGGATGGAACGTTCACAAATTGAGAACATGATGTTTCGACCTCCTCTTAGGGATTTACAAGAGTTTTTTTTTAAGAGCCATCAAAACTAAAAAAAAAAAAAAAAAAAAAAGCGGGCGAGTGCGCACGGAGACTGACTTCCTCGCAGTTGCACTTAAGCAGAAACTGGCTAGTGAGTCTCCTTTTTTCATAATATTAAAAATCCCAGTGTCTTCTAAATGTTGTGTACGATAAAGACAATGTTGAAGACGAGATATGAGTTCTAAAGAGTTGAAATTATAATTGACAAAGATGGGCCAAATCGCGTATACTATAGCTCCCATTATTTGAGCGAAGGACCATTTGTTTGTGTTTGTTCAGATTTAAGTTTAAATATTAAATCTGTGAGATGTTTTCAAAGAAGAATATATTTATAAAGGCAGAAGAAACCAATATTGTTTCGGATTCGAAAGATGTCTCTCTTTCGCCGTCATTTTTAATTCCAATATGCACACCCATTTTGGTGTATCAAGAGTATAAACAGTATTTATTGAAGTAGGTTTTTATTAAAGGAAAAAAAATGATAATAATGTTGCGCAATCTATACAAGAATGAAATATGCAGAATGTTCTAATTTTTGCTGTTATAAGCAGGGTAGTCCGTGTATCCCTCAGGTCCATCAGTGTAAAAGGTAGTTCTATCATACTTTGTAAGTTCCCAACCATTTAAGAGACGTGCAGGAAGATCAGGGTTGGAAATAAAAGCACGACCAAACGAAATCAAATTGCCGGTACTTTCAGCAATATCAAAAGCTTCTTGTCGACTTGTAGAAAATCCACTGGAAGAAATAAATGGTCCTTTCCAAATTTGACGGTAGGCATCCAGACCATGTGCGGGAGCAACATAATTGTCCGTCTTGTTGATATTGGCACGCGCTTGAATAAAGTGAAGGTACGATAAATCTGGGTATTTGGCTTGGATTTGACTCGTAAGGTAACTCCATGTTTCAACCACAGTATCATCTTGCATATCTTGCCAATCTTCACCAGGTGAGAATCGAATAGCGGTACGCTCTACACCCACAGCTTCAACAACTGCATCAAGTACCTCCAGTGAGAATCGGGCTCTGTTGGGAATACTTCCTCCGTACATATCCGTACGCTTATTACTGGACGTATTAATAAACTGATCTAAAAGATATCCATTGGCACTATGAATTTCAACACCATCAAATCCAGCTTCAATGGCATTCAATGCGGCTTGACGATATTGCTCTACAATCACCTTGATCTCGGGAATTTCAAGTGCACGAGGAAATCCATAATCACCTCCTGTCAAGTTTTTACCGGTGACAATAGGAATATCCGATGCAGACACAGGGGGCTCAAAGTTAGGATTGAGATAATCAGCACCGGCACGACCGATATGCCAGAGTTGCAAGAACATGGTAGCTTTCTTGGCATGAACAGCAGCAGTGACTTTCTTCCAGCCTTCAATTTGATCTTGAGTGTAAATACCAGGCGCTTTCAAGTATCCGCCAGCCATACGATCAATAAATGTAGCTTCACTGATCAAAAGACCGCCTTCGGTTGCTCTTTGTGTGTAGTATTCCACTTGAAGATCAGTTGGTACAGCATCTAATGTAGCTCTGAAACGGGTTAATGGAGCAAGTACAACACGGTGTTGAAGTTGATGTTTTCCAACTTTGATGGGCGAGAAAAGTGCTTGAGGAACTGTTGCAGAAGGCATGGTTGAATTGATTTGTTTAAAATTGATGATAGATAGTAATTTTTTAAATAATAACATTTTGGAAATATGCGCCACCTTATATACATGGATTTTTTTAAAGTTTTCATTTATGTCCATGTAAACAATGCTGAATAATTGTAGAGGGTGAATAATCAGAACCCTGGGTTCCAAAAAAAATAGCGTAATGTTAGGATTATGCACCGATTTGTAATTCCATTGTTACCGAGATTCTGAAAACCCTATTTTTTTTTTTAAAGTTAACTATACTTATCATGAGCGATCTTACATACTTTTGGCTCTTCAAAAATTAAATACAAATCGAATAGTGCTTTTAAAAGTTGTATACTTATATCAGGCTCTTAACTAGTGCGAAACCCTCATTACGCAAAAACGCGTCTATCTTGATTTATGTGTCAACGTTTTTCCTTTGATAGCTATTAATTAAAGTTCTGCTTTGGGATGATGTACTCTAATATTATTGGTGAATGTATTTGGGGCGTTTTAGTACGACACCTTTCATCGAAATCCAGTTGTGATTGATTACATTCTATATTGATTGTTTTATTGATTTTTCCTTTCTTTCTAAAACAATGCTTATGGCATTACAGATGCGATAATGTTAAAATCAACAGATTACTTTAAGGTATTTAGTTTTTTTTTTAACCTTTAAAAGGATGCAAACGGGCGGGGAAAAGGTCTCCCAGCCAAAATGAGTAACTGAAAAGATAATATCACCAAAATAGGAAAAATAAAACCTGATCAAACAGTTTTGAATCTACAAATGATAATGATGTCATGGTTGAAGCGGTCGGATGGGAGCCAGAACACCCGCACAGCGCTGACAAAAAGATGATTCAGCATTTTATTTGGCTTTTCAACTGATGCTGATTTTTCTCTTTTTGGAAATAATCATGATGTCTTTACAAAATGGTAAATGGTATGATTTGTTTTCGATAACTGTGGTAGTCTGTTAAAGGAGTTGATCAGTTATTCAATATGTCAAGATAAATTATATATTTTCGTTTACTGGGGGGGGGGGGGGGTTTGTTCTAAAAGGCATAAGTAACTGATAGATTCATTTTTTTTTTTAAAAAAAAAAGGATGTTTGTATCTGCCGTGATAAAACTATAGCCGACGTTATAAATTTTAATTTTCGCCAAGATAACAGCATTCACAATATGCGTGTGTACAACATGCAGCCCGTTCGTTATTAGAAATCAATTTACAAATGCATCACACTACCAATGATGGGTAAATGTTAATTTATATAGACGGAAAGTGAAACTAGTAACATACCCGATTTTGGGCAGTAACAGTATATAAAGAGGAACCTTAAATCATATCCCTCCCAGTTTATTTTTATTTCTTTACTTTTATCAATTCCCAATCATATGAGCTCCACTAGCACGAAAGCTATCTTTTCGCCCATCAAAATTGGCAACCACAAACTTCAACATCGTGTTGTCCTTGCTCCCTTGACTCGTTTCAGAGCTACCATTGAAGCAGTGCCTACCGATCTCCAAGTCGAATACTACAAACAAAGAGCAAGTGAAGGAGGTCTCTTAATCACCGAAGCCACTTTCATTCATCGTCTTGCTGGTTCCTATCGTCATGCTCCTGGTATCTACACTCAGGAACAAATCAAAGGCTGGAAAAAGGTAACGGATGCCGTACATGAAAAGAAGGCCTTCATTTACTTGCAATTATGGCATATTGGTCGCGCCGGTTTCAAGGAACTCAACCCCAATGGAGAACAAATTGTCTCAGCCAGCGCCATTGCTATCACCGGAACCGACAAGGATGGTAACGCTTATGAAGTCCCTCGTGCACTTGAAATCGATGAAATTAAGACAATCACACAACAGTATCATCAAGCCGCATTAAACGCAATGGAAGCTGGTTTTGACGGTGTTGAGGTCCATAGTGCCAATGGTTATTTACTTGACCAATTTATTAACAGTAACAGTAACAAGCGTACGGACATCTATGGCGGTTCTGTTGAAAACCGAACTCGATTCGTGCGTGAAGTGTTGGATACAGTGGTAGATGCCGTCGGACCTGAACGTGCCGCTATTCGTTTCTCACCCGGCGAAGCTTACCAAGATATGGACGATGAAGATGTAGTTGGTACTTGGAGTTATTTAACCTCAGCCATTCAAGCGAAGCATCCCAACTTGTCCTACCTTCACTTTATTCAAGCACGTGCTAGTGTTCATGTCGAAAGAGCACCCGGACAGGCAATCGCACCACCCGATACCCTTCAACCTTACCGAGATATCTGGAAGGGACCCTTTATTATTGCCAGTGGATTCTCAAATGCTATTGATTATGCTATTGAACTTGCTGAAAGAACAGGTAATCTCATTGCATTTGGTCGTGTCTTCCTTGCCAATCCAGATCTTCCTGATCGTCTTCGTTATGGTTACGAAGTGAACAAGTATAACAGAGCTACTTTCTATCGACAAGACGCTATTGGATATACAGATTATCCCTTTTACGAAGATGATCACAAGATTGTTTAATTTATTGTCTTGTACATATAATCATTTTTCTTATTCTTGTGATGCTACCCATACACATATGATTTAGACTGCACACACCAGATACATTTTTTTCTCTCTCTTTTTTTTTCCTAAATAAACCTGAATTTATTTTTAAACATAATTTTTTTAACGTCCTTTATATACAGGTTTTCTCTTTTCTTTGAAAGATTGAAGACCCTCTAACCTATCTTCAGTAGGTATAACTTGAGCATAATAAGATTGCTCAATTTCCAACCCAGAATCCCTTTTAAAGAGAGAGAAATGTCAGATTACTTTGGTAATATCGACTGCTACTCAGTAGAACTTACATGTCCAAATGAGATCCTCTATCAATAGCCAACTTTGCCATACGAATAGCCACTGGACCTTGAGGTAAAATAGACAAGGCGATATCCAAAGCCTTTTTATAAGCACTCTCTTCATCTGCATGATTGACTACACCATATTCTTTGGCTTTAAGTGCACCAAATACTTCGCCCGTAAAGATGAGTTCCTTGGCTTTGGGAATACCAATTAATCGAGGTAATCTTTGGGTTCCACCTGCACCTGGAATAATTGCTAACTTTGTTTCGGTTAATCCCATCAATGCTTTTGGACCTGTTTCAGAAAGCGATTGAGTCTACACGTATCTAAAAAGAATAATGATTAAAAATGTTACCTGCTACTCGGATATCACAACAAAGTGCCATTTCTAAACCTCCACCAAAGGCAGGACCATCCATAGCAGCAATGGTAGGGATCGGAAGTGTCTATTTATTTTGGTTACACAACATCGACTTGACCCCTCCTTTTTAAAAAACTCACCTCCAATTCTCTGTAGGCCTTTCTTAAAGTATATAAGAACTGAGTGACTTGTGTAGGACTCATAGTAGATCGTTCCTAGAATAATAGTTTATAATGATGCATCATTTCACGATGTTTTTTTGTATGTTTACCTTTAAATCTGCACCAGAACAAAATGCACCGGGCGTAGAACTCTGAATAATCAGAACACGAGATTCACTAAAACTAAGAATTAGTATCAACAAGCCGAGATATAAAAAAAATGTATCACACCTTGAAAAGCGAACATCCGACAATGCTTGTCTGAATTCAGTCAATAAATTGACTGATAAAGCATTTCTTGAAGAAGGACGATTTAATTTTAAAATGGAAATACCGCCTTCTAAATGCTCTAGATACGCTTCCTTGCTTGATTCAGTAGAGATCCAGCGTCTTTCAAGAGATCTCTTAAATATTCTACTCAAAACAATACGACAGGAAGAATGTACAAACATTTTATTTTACGTGTGAAAAAAGCAAAAAAGCAAATTGAAATGAAAAGCGTGAGAAACATTTTATAAAGATTGAGAAAATCGGGAATTCAAATTGCTTTTTTAATCTTTTCCAGTAGTGGCAGTAGATTCAACTTCGGGTATCACCATGCCTCCAGCCTTTGCTCGAGAAACCACCTTTTCAGCCCATCGAACCACTGGCATATCAATCCTATATGCATAATTTTAATACAACATAGTTCTTACTTGTTTCATACAACCTACATTTTGCCATCTAAATTAAATGCCCCCACACCCTTTTGTGCGTTTGCTTCATAGCCTTGAACAACACGAATAGCTCTTTCAAGATCTATCATAAAAAAAATTCAAAGTTCTAGATCTTTTAAAAACCAGCATAAATAGGCCTGTTATGATTACCTTTAGGGTCCGGTAAAAAGGCCTTCTGAATGATATCGATTTGACCAGGATGAATGGCTTGTTTACCGGCAAATCCAAATTGCTTTCCTTCTTTACATTCCTCGGCAAGAATTTCATCATCTTGGAAATCCACACAGACCTTTTTTTATACGGGATTAATCTCCCAGTTTATATATATATATATATATTTTTACTCTGTGATAATACTTACTAAATCAATGGCTTGTAATCCATAAGCAGCAGCAGCATTGACAATCAATTGACGTGCAAATAACATTTCCCTTCTTGATTTGGATCGAACCAAACCTAAATCTGCACAGTAATCCTCAGCAGCAAACTACATATAATTCTCGATGAATATTTGTCTATACACATACACATTTACACTTACAATCAATGCATCTAATCTGGGATCAGCCGTGACAATTTCTTTAATGTTCATCATACCAAGCGCACTTTCAATCGATGCAATTAATCGAATACGCTCACGTCTATAGAATTTTTGTTCAGGGTTATATTGGGGGAGGGGTGACGAAATACGTACTGTGATTCTATAGCAACCGAGTCAATCATTCGACTGACAAACTGAATATCTTTGGCACTTTGAACTTTGGGGATTACAATGGCTTGTAATCGTTTGGAAAGAAGCTAATAGAAAAAAAATGATGAATCATGACATCATGAGCTACATCAACCAGTATAACTTACAATCACATTCAAATCATCCAATTCATGTCCTATTATTCTTTTGAGTACACTTAAAAAGAACTTTATATTTTCCTTTTACCTGATCCTACAGCATTGATTCGAACCGCCTTTTCTGCTTTTCCGTGTTCAGATGCCTTTTTAATGGAATGATCAGTTATGATACTATCACCTACAATCTCTCCTAAACTTACCTCTAAAGCATCAATGACCATATGTCTTGCAGTTCCTTTTTTACTAGATGAAACACTATCTTCCAAATCATACACTACACAATCTGCTCCGACCGAAATAGATTTATGAATTTTTCTTTCATCACTTCCTGGAACTATTTTTTTTTATGCATTAATTTTCTACTCTTTTTTTTTGCGCGTTACGTGTGTTTATATATTTACCGTAAAATAAGGCTCGTCTCGGTCTGACTGCTCTAGTCTTTTCATTTGTGCTTGAAGAAGAGGAGGCAGTACTCAGTGCACGCCATGATGTATTGTTCATTATGCGAAAACTACGGGTTCCTGCTTTTTATATTGCAGTTCAATATCCGCCCATGTGTATTGGAAAGGAGAAAAGTAATTACCTGTTAAAGTCATTGACTTTGTAACATGGAGTAGACCTACCATACGCAACATTTTTTTTTTTTTTTTTGGTTTGAGGGAAAAAGGGTGAAAGGAATAAAAGGAAAAAGATAGAAAAATATTCTACTAAAAAAAAACTTATTTGTGACCCCTGTTTGGGTCCAATGGCAAAAAAAAAAAAAAAAGCGTGATATTATACAGTAAAATCACTTTAAAATTCAGACAATCTATAAAGTGTCTCCAAACAGATGCAAATATATTCCGGACAGCAATAAAAATATATACAGACGAATGTAAAATTATGTTCAGAAAAGTGTAAAAAAGGTATTCGGACAAAAGGCTTGATTGTTGTTCATAAGATACATACCCAGATCCCAGCTAAGATGTCTTCTGCATTGAGAGTGTCACAAGGAATCTAAAAGGGAAGCTATATTAATTTCAACCAGCGCTTCACAATTGGCACGAACAAAAGTTATGCAAAGCGTTTAGATCAGACGAGCTTCACGAGGAGACATAGAATTGGTTGCTTGTAAGAAAATAGTTTTTACAACTCGAAGACGACGATGAAGTGATTGTGTAGCAATCTTCAATACGCGTTATACTTCAGGATTATGTTTTTCATTTAGAAATAATAGTGCCAATTAACATTTAAGATACCTGGACGGGAAAGAGTTGATTACCTATTGCTCGTATTACAAAGTAAAGAGGTTTTTACAAAGCGACTTACATTGCTAACTAAAGAGGCAACCTTTTCTGCTTATGTTAAAATTAGAGAGGTGATTAGTGGGCAATAAAACTGGCTCTTTTGAGTATAAAAAGAGAACCATTAAACTACTCTCATGCAGTTATGTTTAAATCGTTTAAAGGACTACAAGTTTTTACAAAGAGAGACTTGAATGATAAAAGAGAAGGCTTGCAATGGGTCATGAGTTTAATAGAGGAAGTCCTCATCGCCTTACTCACAATGTAGATCCTTTAGCATAAATGTTAATCGCCATATTGGCGTAATAACCAACTCTTACCCACGGTAGACAAGACTTGTATATCAATTAATACTATTTTAAAAAGACTGAAGACAAAGTAATGTTAAATGAGGAATGACGACTTTATTAATTTAAAAAAAAAGACACACTTTGGCAATTAGCCACTCATGAAGAGTGTTTCCAGAAGCACCACGAGGAGGTTTGCCAATATACGCTTCCGTAGAGAATAGAAGGGGATGGTGTATTAGGGGTGGTAGACGTGTCAAAGAGGGGAAAGAAAAGGAAGCCTTTTCAGTCCAAGAAATAATCGACTAAACTCTACTGCAACAGACCAAAGCTGCCACGAAAAACATAGGGTTGTTTTAGTAAAAAGGGAGGACCAGGAAGCGACGGAACTGCTCCGAGACTTTTCTACCGTGCTGGGACGGACCCCCGAGGAAAATAACCGAATACTGGGAATCACACGATATGAGTGTTGGACGTTGTTTGAGATATGGTAGTCTCGCTCAGAAATACAACCGCGCAGAACCGAAGTGAATGAGTCGAACGTCCGGACCAAACATTCACCCACCTATATACTCACCTATATATATGTATGTATCGAAGGGGAGGTACACTGAATTCGGCAACGGAGGGGTTTGGTTACTTCTTGTGTCGCTTTCTTCAAAGGAAAAAAGAAGAAGAAAAAAAAGAATTTTTACGCCAAAAAAAAATTGGCGTATTTATATCTATGCAACTGAATTTCAATTTTTAGTTGCTGCGCACACTTTTTGCATACAGCCTCCCAACCAGCTTACATTTTTATGCGTTGTGTTATAAAACCTGAAGGCTTGGCGTCAACTAATCAGGATAAGCCTATTTTTTACAATCTGTAAAATGAGGGGTCTTTTATACCACCAACGTCAACCTTCAAGAGCAGATCTCTATTGTCGACAATCTTTCGGATGGAGGAAATGACAAGCTTTGCATTTTGAAGTTGAGGGAGCACGCATTAGAAAACTATGAATTGCCCAGAAAGTGGCTACAAAGACCAGTCTAAAGGAATTTAAAGTGTTCTTGAATTTGCTAAAATAAAGGAAGCTTCAGAATGGAATTATGGGGGTTTTTTTTTTCTGGAAGGGCGTTATAAGCCTAATAATATTATGCAATAACATAGGGCCGGTGGTAAATTTTATTGTGTTGTTTGTCACTTCATAATGGACTTTAATGTAGTAAAAAGACAGAGTGGTAGCTCTAATTAATGGTGCTATCGACTGAAGAGATTGAATGACAGTGGATAAGTACAATATTTGACAAGAGTTTGTAGGCTTGATGTATAAATTCACACTAAACAATTATCCCAACAATATTATCATCTTTCTACTAGAGAAACACCATTATTCAATTGGAGAGTTATTTGTAATAACGACACCTCAAGATATATGAAACTTTGTTCTAACTTATTGTGAGATAAACTAATAGCCTCTTAGTAAATTCTTAGTGAGAAAGAAAGTGAGTGGTAGGGCCTAAATTCAGGACACTGCATGATAAAAATGATTGAGCAAGACGCGGCTACTCTTAAGTGTCAACTTTCTTAAAAAGACATATTTCATTATCTCTCATAGACGGTGTACTCCTTGCATTAGAAATATAGCTTGCATGAATCTTTGCTATCATCCCATTTGAAAGGGCCTCTCCGTCGGTGTCTTAATCCGGCCTATCATTTTTACATGCCCTCAAAAAAAAAGTGTGAGCGCTTCTCTTTCTTCTTCTTGATGAGGCATGCTGTCCCATTAGTAACTTCAAGACTAGTAGAATGACCTGCTGTAGCATAGGAGTACTTCCAGTCATGGATCTTTTAATGTCGCCAAAAGGATGTGATTCTGTGCAGGAAAGGCATTTGTTCTTGGACATGCAAATATTTTACAAGTCATAATCTTTCTTCAGCTGATTTATATATTAGTCGAGAGAATGTTGAAGCAACATTCAGGACAGATTTAAATATTGCAATTAATACTATTTAATTTTTAGTAGCAAAAGGTCATTCACGCAAACATAAAAACCAAGGAAATCTCTTTTACAGTTATTACAACAAGGTGTATGCCCTTTTCGAACTATGAAAAAGGGACATTGAGGGAGATTATCAGGGTGAGAGAGAAGCATATTTCAAGAGTATATAAGACAATTCTGAGAAAGAAAAGAAATGCGGTTGTGATGTGGCACATAACGTTGTGTACACATCACGTCAATCCTTGTGCGTTGGGAAAAAATCAAGATTTACTATGACGCTTGTTTTACGCCATTTATAGTGTAACAAGGGGAATAGACAACTCATGGCGCGTACGTGTGTGTGTTTGTGTGTGTGAATTCCTTGTCGGCCTGCAGATCCTTTTTCCGGTGTGCTAAGCCTGGGGTTATTTCTTTAAGTATATTAAACTTGATAATTATCGACGTGATGAATTAGCGACTAGAATGATAGATAAAAGTTTGCTGGGGGGTGCGGGGCGTTGAGGTATGTAAGGCAGACGCAGCACACATGTGACACAATATTTACAAAACATTAGGCCGTACTGTGGTTAAAATGAATTCTAAAAAAATCACTTTGGAGAGGAGGAGAGGGGCGATTACGTATACTTTTTATGGCCTTAAATAAAGTAACCCTGTCATTGTTTCGTATTCTATGTGTGGCAAAAATTAAGTTATGCTATCTTGTTTTGGGGAATTCGTCATTAAATCATCACGACGAAATGGAATGAAAATGAAGGGAGTAGTTATGGGATTGTGTAACTAAGGTTCTTTTTGCTGGAAGAAAGTAAAAATAAGTATAAGGTTGCTAGAGTTGGCTATGCATAATGTACGTGAATATGATGATATTAAATATCATGCCTTAATTCAGTTCTAGAACATGGTGTGTGTGTGTGTGTAGCAGCAATGAGTGCCTATACTTTTTTTTTTTCTTTCTTATAATATAGACCAGCTTGACGTTTTCTCATCATCGGTCTTTCTCCCGGTAAAAAAAAAAAGTCAAGTTAAAAGAAGTTTGAATATTAAAGAAAAGTGTCATTAACAATTAAAAAGATATTGAATGTAAACATTTACTGTTGCATATCATGCAGTAAAAATAAAGGGAGTAAATTCTTGTATAAATAAAAGGGGTGGGGGTCTTTTTTTGTGCAGACAAGACAGTATACAAGATCCAAAAATAACATTTTATTCTAGATTACCATAGTTGCAAAGTAACTGGATTTGGAAAAACCACGGGTAATGGCCGAAAAGAGCTTTCCAGTTCTTTGTGTCTGTTGACTTTTAATAACTATTTTGAGGGAACTATCTGTCTCTCTCTCTCTCTCTGTTTTGAATCACATTTTAGTAAATATAAGGAGTTTTGGCTTAAAAGGAGTATATATCTATTTATTCTAAAGGAGCTTCCCTTGACTTATTTTTATATAAAAAGACAACCAAAAAGTTAAAAAGATCTTTGCCTTTTTTTTTTTTTTTTTTCTTGAATATCTGTGTTTCTATTACCAGATTTTTTTTAAAACTCCCAAAAAAAAAAAAAAAAAAAAAAAAAGAAAGAAAAAGGAAACGAACGTCGAGAATATAATTGAATACATTTCTTTTTTATATATATTTCTTTTTTCTTCTTCTTTCTTTCAATTACGATAAAAACTATTTTATTATGAAGACAACCTTGATTTGCTTGGCTGCAATTGCATTATCCGTTACTGCTGAGCCTATTCAGAGAATTCCTCTTTTTTACAAGCGATCTTCTGGTGAGGACTTCAGGTCAGTGGAAGGCCAAGTGCTTAAGAATGGTATGCTTGGTGGTGTAGTTCAAATTGGTAACCCACCAAAGAACTTTACAATGGCATTTGATACATCTACTGGGTTTTCATGGGTTCGCGGTGAGCAATGTGGTGATGCCAATTGTCAAGGGCGTAACTCGTATGATGCAAGAAATTCAACCACAGCCATCTCAACAGGTCGATCATTTACCAAGGATTACGGCAAAGGCATTGTTTATTCCACCATCTATGCTGATACCTTCCAATTTTCAGACATCATCGTCAAAAACATGACCTTTGGTGGTGCTTATCGAATGGAAAACTTCGATGAAGGTTTTGATGGTTTCCTTGGTCTTGGTCGAAATGTCAATTTGAATATCACAAACGTTAAATATGCAAAGCGTGATGTCCCTCCTCCTGGTTTCGTTCAAGCTGCTTTCCAACAAACCTATGGCTTGCAAAGCTCACAATTTGGTATGTACACTACTTCCGTCGGTAGTGGTTTCTCTGATTCTGGCTCTGTCCCTGCCTCACCTGGTCAAAGCAGTAATCCTGTTACTTCAGGTGGGTTTGGCTTTGCAAAGAGAAGCTTAGATGAACCTGCTGGTTATCTCGTTATTGGTAAAATTACCCTCCTTTTCTTTCTTTCTTTCTCTCTCTCTCTTTCTCTCTTTATCCCTTCTTTTTTATTTTTAGAAACTAACACTCATTTTAATTATTAGGTGGTATTGATACCGATGCTATAAAGGGTAAATTGTATAACATTAACGCCAACGAAGACACTGGGTCCGGTAATTGGGCCGTTCCTGTCCGCCAAGCTGAATTTGAAGATGACTTGGAATTCGAGGTTGACAAAAATGCAAATGCTGTTCTTAGCACCTCCACTGATGTAATCGGATTACCCAACAAGCAAGGTAAAATAAATATATATGCACATACAAATAGAATAATCTAATTGACAAAACATAAACTTTCTTTTTTTAGCTGATGAATTCCAGAAGCATTGGTACGCTGAATATGACGAACCTGATAATACCTTCATGATCCCTTGTTGTCTTATGGATAGACTTACAGCCTTCAATATCCAATTTGGTGGTGTCAAGGTTTCTATTCCTCCTTCTTACTGGAGTCATCCTCGCGAGGTCAATAGTTGTTGTGAACTGTGTCGTACTCATATCGGTCGCAGTGACTCTGATACCGATTATGTTATCGGTTCTGCATTAACAAACGCATTCTATTCTCAATTTGATTCCGAAAGTAACAAGATCGGTTTGGCCATGAAGAAGAGCCACATTGAGGATGATGGACTTGAGCTTTATGAAGCTTAAAAAACATTAGACTTTTTTTTTTATCGAATCAAATCATAAACATATACACTTTTCTTTTCTTTAAACACCCACCCACCCACACACAAACACAAAAACACACACATACACACACAAAAACATATTAATAATCGTGCTATATTTTATATTCCCCTTTTCCTCTCGTCCCACACTCACTTGCTATTAAAAAAATAACCTCATTACTACATGTACACATACAACCTACAAATAGCTGTATAAAAATAGACTTTTTTTTTTATTTCTTGACAAATATATAAAAAAGGGCTCAAGGGGAAGGGGTAGTTGCCGGATTTTTATGGACTGATGTTACAAATTGTATTCTTCATGACGTTACACGTATATTTACCACGAGTTTTATATTTTCTGGGTTTTTGCGATCGATTTGTATGAAGGCAGACAAGAGACTCCGGTTGTTAAGGAGTGTAAGTTGCTCCGAAAAAAAGAAAGGGGGGGGGGGCAGCGAGGGGGTTCCTTTATTCTCGTAGTAAGTGCCACACAAGGCAATTGAGAGTTATATAATTATGTATTAAATCTGCCTTCCACTCTGTAATGGGGAGGTTCTTTTTCTTGCGAGGGAAATTGCAAACTTTATTAAAAAAATTTCCAAACTCAATTAGCAGCTTTAATAGTAAGCGGCTCGTGTTAGTTACATGACACAAATTTCGGGAACAAATCAAAATGAGCAAAACCTTGTTTTATAATTATTCACTTGGATCCGAGTGTCCTCATATTAAACAAATCATTATTATTATTACTTGCAATGGTTTATAATCCCATTGTCGCTAGGCTTTATCCCATTGGAATGTAAGGGATTAGAATGATATGGATTCATTGTGTATGCATTTATTATACACGAAAATCTGACTTGGAAAAAAAAAGATGTATCCCGAAATTAAAAAAAGCTTTTTATTATGTACATCCCCCACTGGTAAAACGTCGATCTTTTGCAGTAGGTGATTGTTTAAATAGAATCAACTACATATTAGTGTTGGAATACATATATTAATCTTTCTGGGCAGGAGGGGTTTCAAAGGGACATATCCCCCTCTTCCAAAAGGATACACCTTACAAGCCTTGGAGTAATTTGAGATGAATCCGCATAACGCTTTTTTCAGGACCGTTACACTGTAGATCTTTTACTCCGCCCCTTGTCATCATCTGTATTATTTAACGATTTTTGCCCTGTACACCATTTATGGTAATTCGGTCCTCTGTGTTTTCATTCTTTGGAGCGGCTGGTCCCAGCAACAGACACGTATCAATTTTACTAAATCTTTTGTATTTTGACTGTTAATCGGGCACATTTTTCAAGTTTCAATATGAGGGGATTTCACGCTTGATAAAAGTCGTCTTTGTCCTCCTTTGTAGATAGCACGAAATGGTGTATGGAGGTTGGTCTATCGGTGGTATTCTTCAATTTATTAAAAGTGCTTTAAGATTAACTTTGTTATTTCCATGCTATCGGCTTCAAAACAGCATTATTCACGTCTTCAGTGACAATATTTTTCTTGCCGAATTACACATATATAACCCAAATAAATCTAGATGTGCAGCAACAACGTTCTTTTTCATATATGCAACCTCACAATCAATTGACAGAAATCAGTCGAATTAACAAAAGTGTCTTTGATTGACATTTCAACTGCCACCATCAAGACATTTACGTTTATACCTTCCATTTATATTTATTACCTTCGAGTCTATAATGGGCCGATAAATTCGTAATTCTACAACTCCGCACCGAAAATATTCGACACTTTTCACAAAAATTTGAGTTCCTTTAGTCATGCATTTTTTTAAAACCAAAAACTTGTTAATAAAAGGTATCTCAAATTCTACCAAACTTGACAAAATAGCAATATATATATATATTTTGTAAAAAGAAACTTTTTTATTTACGTTAATAAGTGGTATTTGAGCCACGAGCTTTTTTTACTGCCCGGCATCTATCGGGCATACTTTCTACAAGCTTATGACACACTTCATCCCCCAACAACTTCCATTCCTGATGAAGTGCAACCTCCAATTCATTAAGATTTTGAAGCTGGGCTCTTCTTTTAGCAATCCTTTGTCCCAGGAGGCGCCAAAGGTTCTCAATCGGATTCAAATCGGGACTTTGAGCGGGCCATCGCTCAAAGCCTGCAATCCCAGCCTTCTCTTTCCACCACCTCGTATATCCTCCTGTATGGCATGGGGCACCGTCTTCTTGGAAAATAAAGTCATGACCATATTTCTCTGTCAATTGTTCAAGCCAAGGGAGAAAGTTTTGACTTAAACAATTGACATATTTTTCTTGATCGACAGACCCTTTTAGTGTCACCAAAGGGCCCAAACCGCCTGCCCAAAAACATCCCCATACCATCACTGATCCCTTACCAAATTTAAATGTTGGTAAAACAAATCTATCCATATACCTTTCACCCTTCTTTCTAATAACTCTCACACCACCGTCGTTGTGCCTGAGTGCGAATCGCGACTCATCGGACCAGATTACCTTCTTCCAGTCATCTAATGTCCAATTCATCTTGTCGTCGACCCATTCTCTTCGCGTTTTTTTATGTCTAAGACTCAAAAACGGTTTTTTGGAAGGTCTGCAAGAATAAAAACCGTTTTTGCGAAGTGCATTCCTCAATGTCGTCAGGCTGATTGGATCGGTAGCCTTCGCAAGATTTTGCATATGAACACTTAAAGGTTCAAAGGAGTCCCTTCGAACTAAAAGCGTCAGGTGATGCTCAGCTCTTGCTGTCAGCTTTGCTGGTCTTCCTGGACGAGGTTGGACAGTCGTGATCCCTTCAGTTCGATACTTTTTTATAATCGTAACAACGGTTGTTCTAGGAACGCCCAATTCTTTGCTGATTTGGGTACCTGTCCATTTGGCATGCTCTGCCAAACCGCAAATGACTCCACGATCGAAATCTGAAAGTTCCTTGCTTTTTCTAGAGACTTTGTTAGTAATGTCAGTAAGTGGCATGATAAATTGTGTAATAAAATATGAAAGAATCGTTGAACGAAGAAAGAGTAGGTTTATTTATTTTTTTGGCTCAAAACGGAAGTGTCGAATATTTTATGTGCGGAGTTGTACTTCTAAATGCTTTACGATCCGCGTCAAAAAACAAAAATAAATAGTTATGTAAGCTGTCAAAATAAGTCAGATGTCATTATAAAGTTTATACCTTGATTAACATATTTAAGGGATCTGTGAAGTTCTGAATATTATCAAGTCCAACTTGCTATAACACTACCTGGTGATGTTTGTGTTTTCGTAACAATACTGTGTGACATGAGGATCCAAGCTATAGCCATACAGCTCTGTACCGTAAGAATAATGAAAATAAAGCCTACGTAATTCACCAGCATAAATTAATTTTTTTTGTACGTATCATTATTGTTATTTATTATTCTCTATCCATAATGAATACTATTGATTGAGTAAATGATTGATTGTGAAAATTCTTTATGTGGCGGGGGAAAAGTTGCAGCAGTCCTTAAGTTGACAGATATTTGTGCTTGTGTCACTCAAGATTTTGTGTGTACGTTAGGACTTTCAATGGTTTTTTTTTTTTTTTGAGAATTCCTAGGCTGCAGCAGGTAAATAAAAACAAATTGAGACGTACCCTATATTTGGCACAAAATGCGTTTCATACAAGATTTAAATAACAAATTACATGTAAATTCAGTGTAACAGACAGTGTAACCATCAGGCCCGACGATGTAAAACACAAAGAGGAACAATCAAATGACAATAACAACTAGCAATCAGGTTTAAAAGTTGATTGTTATTGGATTCTACGATAAATGAAAAACAAAAAAAGGATATTTTACGTCGTTCACACTCTCTTTTTTCTTCCTCTCTTCTTATGAGATTTTTCAAGAAATCAGACTCGCGTTTCTATACGATGACCACCAATAGCTTACAAACAGATTTTGATCGAGTGCAGCATCAAAAGAGAGTAAATACATTGACACATGTGATGAACTTGTTTGAGGAGCGAAACAAGCACTCGCCTGTACCTCCGGCAGGACCACTGCCTATCAAAGCAAACGGAGCCATGGTGGTGCATCGACCGAATAAGTATGAAGAGAATGCGGACATAGACGATGACGAAGGAGAATTTATCATGATTCAGAACGAAAGGACGTTGGCAGTACATGAAGAGAACAAGAGACTTCGGCAGCAAATCCTGGTTGAAAGGGAGCAGCATGATCATTGGAGACTAGCACAAGAGAAACTCGTGCAGGAGCTATCCTTTGCGCAAAACTCAATCAAAAGTCTACAACGAAAGAATGATTTATTTCAAAAGCTAGTTTTACCGAACCAAGAAAAAAAGCGCCAGTCGACATCATTGGAAGATGGACAGATCGCTGCTTCCTATGAGCGCAAACTTGGTATTCTGCTGAACGAAATTGATGCTATGGAGGCGCAAGAAACCGCCACATGTAATAATTTAGCAGTCCAAAGAAGCAAGCTTGATCATCTGGTTAGAAAATTACAGCATAAAGACGATGTTATAAGGCAGCTGGCTTGCGATTTACATTTCGAAAAAAATCACCTTTCATTGGCTTGAGCTTGTAAATGTTGCGTACAAAGTAACGAATAAAAAAAAAATAACATTTTATAAAATATTCCCCACGCTTTCCCTCTTACAAATATGATAAATAAATCCGTGAGACTTTCAGGACGTGAGTAGCCAGCAAACAATCACGCACGCACATATATACGCACCTTTTTTTTTCTCACCCATCCGCCATCGTTTAGTCATTGTTCGTTCCATGTCGACATTACCCCAAGTGAGATCTGCTGCTTCTTTGATTGTTGTTGCACCCGCACCTTTAGAAAATAAAGAAATTGGCTGTAATTACCGAATTCTTATGATGAAGAGGTGAGAGAAGGGTCAAAATGAGCTGAAGTGTATAAAATTAACGCGCATGAACCTCCGCCAGAAATGCTAAAAGCAGTTTCATCAATGCACACGTATATCCAGGCGGTGTTGTTGATGCCAGCGATGAGGCTTCTCTTTGGGATAGCCAGATCAAGTCCGAGAAAGAGTAAGCTCGTTTGTGAATTGTGTGTTTGCACAATACTTAAAAAATAAAAATAATAATAATATGGGTGTTTGTAGGAAGCGCCTGGTGACAAACAAGATTTGTGCTATTCGGGAAACGTTTGAAGAATCGGGATTACTGCTATCAGAGCCTTCTGCAGAAACCGTCAAAGGGTTAGATGTTGATATTTGGCGACATAAAGTACATGACGATGCCTCGCAATTCAAAATAATGTGTGATCAGTTCAAGATTCGACCTGCGGTTGATAAGTTAATCCCGTTCACTTGCTGGATCACACCCGAATTTGAAAAGAAGCGTTACAACACCTTATTTTTTCTGACCACGTTAGACCAGCATCCAACGCAAAAGGAACATGATGCTCGCTTAAAGCTTGTCTCTTCCGATGGTAAAGAAACAGTTCTGTTTGAATGGTTGAAACCTGAAGAAGCTTTGCAGAAACAAAAGGCGAAGCAGATTAAATTGATCCCTCCTCAATGGTATTCCCTCTTGCTGATGAGCCGAATTTCAGATTTTCATGGACTCGACCAAGCTGGTATTGGTGCATTTCGAACGAAAACAGGAGAAGTTGTTCCGATCTTACCTCAACCTGTCACCATTCCCAAGACAGAAGATGGGTATGAATTCTATTTGGCGTATCCAGGCGACGAAAACTTTCAATCGGTCGAATTTAAGGCAGAAAAGGGAAACGCTCATCGTCTTTATTTCAAGGGAGCGATGCAAGATTTTAAGCTTGAAAGAAATATCCAAGTAGATGATATTGTTAAAGATGTATCAAAATTATAATGTATTTATGTTATATAAAGAAGAGAGAAATATGTGCAAAATAAAGGAGAAGAAATATTAATTGACTCTAGCAAGCAAAGTATACTTGTCCAATGTCAATTTTTCTAATGATGAGTGATATAATTTGATAGCTGATTGTAGATGCACTGTCAAGTCATCTATATTTTCAAATGAGTGGTGCATGACGATGCCGGTATTGATGGTGGACGCTTTCCTGTTCAGATAATGACCGAAATGAGCTAATATGCTATTCACATGGGATTGTGTGGTTTCGAATAAGGGAGGCAGATCTTGCATCACAATCAATGTAATGATATTTAAAAGATGTTGCTGGATATAATGATCGACTGTAGATACAATTTCATGTGCATTGTTTTCAATACACGTATTATTTATAATATTTTGATCCAAGTAGCAATACTGCATTATCACTTGCTCGATGTAAATAGACAAGTTTGCCTTATCAATGACAGCTGCACGTGTATTCCAGATGGTTGGCATCGAATCTTCAATAAAAGCTAATCGGAGTGGAGTGGGGCATGAGCGGACATTGGAGTTATAGATTACAGGTACAAAAAAAAAAAAAAACTAAAAATACTTACAACCCACAGCACCTTGAAGTTGGCCCTTTAAAAGCTCTACATCCACAGTAAACGTATCATTTAGGTCGAATGGTTGTGCAGTTACTTGGATGAGCTTTTGGAAATGAAGTGATATGGCTTTAGAGAGTGAAGACAAAGTTCCGTCGAGATGATCAAATGATAGATGTGTCGAGTAGATGGAAGAGAATGAATGAATATCCACTACGAAATAGTTATCGGGTACTGAACTGTAATCTTGTTGTCTGCTTACTGGCAATGCATAGATAATCGGCAGAAGCAAGCTGAAGAGTCCAATATAACACCATTGTAAAAATAACATGGAAAAAGAAAAAAATATGTCAAACTTTTATATGTCGCTTTTTCTTTTCCCTTGTTTCTACAATGGGGATTTCGTAAGTTTCGATTCTATTGCTTAAAAGGTAATGTGAATTACCTGCAGGATATAATATTTGGAAAGAAAAAAGAAGTAAGAGAAAAAAAAAGAGTGAAAGGGTCGGTTTTCAATTTCTGGTTATTCTTTTAGAAAACTTTTTTTAAGATTCATTATCCGATCATTTTTCTATTTAAATCCATTTTCTTATTGTTTCTGTTAATAAATCTACTGTAATTAGTGTGTTTATAATAAATCAAGTGAAAATTAGTTTTTGGAAGGGTAACAGGTCTAGATGATGAGACACTCTTCCTTTCTTCTTATTAATTTCTTGGTGTTACATTATCCATCATTGGTCTGTGTCTAATCTTCCTTCTCCCTTCTAGTGCTACATTACGGGTTTCTACGGATTCTGTGATAAAAGGGCGCCCCATTGGGTATCACACGCTGGCTTGATTTTACCAGCCATTTATTTCATATTAAGCATGATTCAGACCATAATAGGTAAAATCACTTGCAAACTTTGGGTATGCTATCGTACATAATTAGCATATTTTTAATAAAACAGGGTCACACATCAATTCAAACTTCTATTTTTTTTATTTTTTTGCTGCGTAATTTTTTTTTTTTTGTCTGATTTACAATCTGGAAATAATGGCCTTGGTGTATTCAGTAAGAGAAGCCTTTCCGCCCAAATCACCAGTCAAGTGCTTACCTTCAGCAATCGTGCTGAAGACAGCCTTTTCAATGTTGCTAGCTTGCTCGTTCAAACGCATGTGTCTCAACATCATGATACCACTAAAAAATTAAACGTATCATGTTAGCCACATAGAACACACACATACACAAAATAAAGATCCTTACGATAAAAGCAAAGCGGTACTGTTAGCCTTGTCTTGACCAGCTGTTAAAAGAGAAGAATACATGAGTACGATACATACACACGGAACATCATGTCTTACCAATATCAGGAGCGGTACCGTGAACAGCTTCAAAGATGGAAGCATCACGACCAATGTTACCAGAGGGAGTCAAACCGAGACCACCGATCAAACCAGCGCTCATATCAGATAAGATGTCACCATACAAGTTGGGCATCACCATGACGGTGTCAGCATAAATAGAAGGATCAGCGGTGATCTAAAAACACCAAGTCAATAACCCACAAACAAAACAAAAAAAAACCAAAACAAAGTTATACTTACGTGGAGACAAGCACGATCCAAGAGGACATCGTTAAACTTGATATTGGGGAAATCCTTGGAGACTTCCTTACAAACCTGCAAGAAGAGACCATCAGCCAACTTCATGATATTGGCCTTGTGAACAGCGGTAACACGGTCACGACCAATGGATTCAGCATAGGTGAAGGCATAACGAGCAACACGTTCAGAGGCTTCACGAGTAATCAACTTGATGGATTGAACAACGCCATCAACCACCTCGTGCTCAATACCAGAGTACTCACCTTCGGTGTTTTCACGGATTAAGACGGTATCGACATCATCGTAAGGAGTCTTGAAACCTTGGATGGAACGACAGGGACGAACATTGGCGTAAAGGTTGAATGTACGACGGAGGGTCAAGTTAAGAGAAACGTGACCTTTACCGATAGGTGTAGCAAGAGGTCCCTTCAAGGCGACAGTACTCTTACGGACACTTTGGATGGCAACATCAGGAATAGCAGTCTTACCGTCCTTGATGATGGGTGTAACATCGACTTCCTCCCATTCGATGGGTGTCTTTGCAGCAGCAAAGATTTCCTTCACAGAGCGTGAAATTTCGGGACCGATACCATCACCAGGAATCAAGGTGACTGTGTAGTTGCCCTGGTTAAATCGGTTAATTTTTTTAATACTTTATTTATTTTTAATGAAAAAATGGTACTTACGTTGGCGTTCTTTTGAGCATTGAAAGCTTGGGTGATAGTAGGAGAAGCGGTGGTGATTGAGCGAGCAGCATTAATCTAAATAGATGATTTAACACCGTGTGCGCGACTTTTTTATTGTTATAATCATACCTTGGTAGCATTCCAAGCAGAAGCTTTGATAGAGGATGTGATAGAACGGGACAACATGGTACAACGAGGTAAAAAAGATGTTTAAAGGAAGAGAAAAAGGTTTTTTAATTTAAATAAAAAAAGAAAAGAGAGAAAATGGGAAAAGCGGGGAAACCGGCTGTATTATTTACCCAATGATCCGGCATAAGTTTTATGCAGATATATATTTTATTTACAAGATTAATTCAACCATGCCGATACCTTCTTGTTCCAACAATTCGATAATAGGTTCGTTGATTTCATGGGTCATGGGGGCAAGAACACCGGTAGCTGTTAACTTACCATCCAAAACGAGTTGGGTAGCAATACCACAAGGAACACCAACAGTCTTGGCCATGGCAGAGTAACCACCAACCTTACCAAACTCGACCAAAGTGGAAGTACGAGTTTGATGAGAGCCATCCTTGAGCTCAATCTCGAAACGATGTTGTAAGAAGACTAAATCACGTTCATTCTCTCCATATTGCATCTTGTCTTCGAGTGTAGCACAGAATGTATCGAGCAAAGAACCACGACGATGTACCTTAATGTCGGAGAAGAATCCTAACCAACGCATGCCATCCAAAATTTGGGCCTTTTGTTCATGGTTTTCAAGATCACACTTGGCAATAATGGCTGCCTCTAAAGCTTCGCGGGAGTTATCTTGAATACCGACAGTCTTAGCAATCACTTGACTCCAGGTGATGTCTTGTGCGTCAGCAGCAAAATGAGCCTCCTCTTCCTCACTCAAGAAACCGAGAATGACAAGTGCCTTGACAAATTGACAGAAACCGTCATAACGCATGGTACCACGAATAATAGTCTCAGCTTCAGGGATGTTGTAACGGACATCGTAAGGTGTAGAATCACGGTTACCATAACCAACAAAAGCGAAACCAGGATAACCAGTATTAAGCTTTCTGGCGGAATCCATAAGATCGGTACCAGAAACTTCATATACCTTACCCTTTTCAAGATACTTTGCGGTATTCTTTAAAGCCAAAAGGACACCACGAGCAGACCAAGAGAACTTGTAACCGAATGGGTTGTTAGAATCCTCAGGAGCGGGAAGTCCACCACAGAAAGAAATAAATTCCTTAAGCTATAACCAAAAAGAAGAAAAAAAAAAAAACCAGATGAATGTCGGAACTTTAACTCCATTATCCAGATTATCATTTTACCTTGCCGCCATCTCTATGAACTTCTTCAATAGTCTTAACAGCGTAAAGATGATCGATTCCGGGATCAAGACCAATCTCGTTCATAACTGTGATACCAGCATCCTTGGCACTATTACCATCACATCAATACACGCACACTCACTTTTTTTTTTTTTTTTTTTTGCACTCTCTTTCAAAAAAGAAGATACTTACGCTTGATCATATTCCATCATGGCAGGAGAGACATAAGAAGTAGTGATGACATGCTTCTTGTATTTGACAGCAGCCTTGATAACCAAAGCGTGATAGATATAAGGAATCAAACTAAATAATAATAATTAATAAAAACAAGCCAAATTAAAAAAAAAATAGAAATCATTTAACCGTACCTGATGGTAACATCATGCTTGGCTACCAACTTTTCAATAGCCTCTTCGTTGGTGATATCACAAGAACAAGCGACAGTACCAGGGAACTTGGAAGCTAAAGCTTGAGCATTTTCGAGTCTTCTGGAAGCTAAACCACAACTTCTTGTCAGATATGACGCGTAAAAAAATAAAATATCATTCTACAAACTTACCAATAGTAACCTTGTTTTCGGGCTTACGAACGAGGTATTCGACACAAGGGGGAGCAACGAAACCTGATCCAAGCAAAAGAATTTTCCTGAGGCAAATGTTAGAATGGGCAATGGCTTTGCTTGGTATGTAATAAAATACTTACTTATCAACCATTTTATTTTATAATATTTGTATTTGGTATTATATTGAAGAAGAAAAAGAATCTAAAAGCCTGAGAATTTAAGTATAAATACTAAAAATCGTGAATAGATGGCTACTTCCATATTAAGAACGATCAAAGATGGAATTTCCTCATTGGTCATTAGCAGGATGGCCGTGAAACGTCACAAACTTTGGTTATATTGTTTTGTTTCTTTTCGATGCTGCGGTAGCGTCGAAGTCGCCGCAGCATTCAATTGTAATACTCTAGTCTTATAGATCAAGATTATCTTGTTTGATTATCATGTACGATGATCCGCCGAAGAGAGAACGTTTATTTATGATAGAAGTCTCCAGCCAATAGTTTTCGCATCTCCATAAATACCCGCTAAATGTTCGCTGTTTGAAAAAAGTTAGTTTTGAACATGCAATATGATGGAACTCTTTGTATCAGAACTTAAATAAATGAGGATGATGACAGCATAACATTTTAAAGCAGATAAACCGTCATACACCAAATTATCATGTTCTTACGACTGGTTGATAAAAACGAGCAATTTTTATTGTCCGGGCATGTACTAACCATCAGGTAAGTTATAGTTCTAGTTTTACTTGGCCTGGTATCGTTACTGTGCGTGCATTCCGAGTTGCTCTTAGCAATAGAAGATTATTCCTTCAGGGGTGTGAAGCTCGGAATACTATATGTAAACGAGCACAATTACTTAAGACCTTTGTGTTTATTATCGAATCGAAACAAGTATTGGTTCAATAATGTGTTTGGGTGAGAGTTTTACTGAATCAAAAGGTGTTTACAATTTTCTGATGATGAAAGTTAAATTATTAAAAGCGATTCTGCATTACAGTTAAGCTAAATAGTAAATTTAGACACATTTACATTGATAGGAACTGTTTAATGTAATGATATACCATCCAATACATGTTTATGTATTGCTTTTAAACTAGACCCTGCCTTTACTTTTAAAATAAAATGCAGTGGTTTCTTTTGCTCATTTATCGGATAAAATACTCTTCAAAAATTGAAGCATGTAATCACAGCTAAAGCGCGGCTTATTGCTTCAAATATCCTCTTTTTGTGTATATCATGATCCAGATAACAACAAAATAAGGGTGTTATACTAATATATTTTAAGTTATAGCTTACTCGTGAGTAACAGAAACTAACAAAAAGTGACATTAATAACTCTGTATTGTATGAATAAGACAATCCAGAAATACTAATCGCGCTATTAATAATATCGTCGCTAAAAGAAGGCCGCTTTTCTGCAGACTTCCAAGGTCACAAGTAAACCTTTGGGTTCAAAATCCCTTTTAAATTTATGGATAGCTCATAAACATACCCATATTCTATTAGAATTGCTGTATTTGTGTCATTTCAAAGGAAAATGATGTTAGGCAGGGTTGAATATTTTGATATCGACGGGTCTCTTAAAGACAAGCAAAGTGCGCATCTTTACTGTACAGTATAAATCAGTTAATCTTCAATTTTACATGTTTGCACTTGAGTTCGTTTGGTCTAAGTTTTGGGCAGAAATACTAGGAAGTTGGCTAGAGTGCACACATATTGTAACATCATATGTGTAATGTAATATTTTTACATATAACACAATATGATAGCACGTATAATGTCACCTTGGGAATTCGCAATTAATTTTTTCTTACTGTGCGGCTACGCGAACTTTAATTTTCCTTTAGAAAATCGTAAAACAAATGATAACATAAATCGACAGAATTATGAATTGAACTTCTAGAGCATTTAAACTGATAACTGCTCCTGGTGAAATGATGGCTTAAAAATATTGCAGCTGAAGTGAAGTTATTTCTGTTGGTTTGCTCAAGAGCTAACCTTTGCTTCATTTTTTCATTTCATCCGGAAATCGTCAGGAGAAAACTATATGCAACTTCGCTTCTTTATTGCTGCCAAATATCAAAACCCCGCGTGGCTGATGTCATCCTTTTGAGTTTTTTGGAAATTTGGCCCAGGCCTGTAACTTTTGTATAACCGCTCAAGGTAAATTTTTATTTTTTCTTTTTCACCTTACTATTTACATTAAAAGATGATCTCCAACGTCCTCGCTCGTTCCGCCATGCGTGCTTCTTCTCGTCAAGTTGTCCGTTCTGATCTTTACCATTTCTCTAACGCCAACGGTGCTGTAAGAAAAAAAAAAATTAAAAAAAAAATATATGCAATGGAGAAATAATGTCGAAATTTTAGAACGTTCCTTTCAACACCAAGAACAGAGCTGGTCTTGCCATCAAGATGACCTTGTATTTGGGTCTCGGTTTCGCCGCCCCTTTCCTTGGTAAGTGCATTTTTTGAATTATTTTAGATTCATTTTTACTAATGTGGATTAATATAGGTGCTGCCTGGCAATTGTAAGTTGATATTGGACTGTTTCTTTTTTTTTTTGTGCGAATAGATGGAATACTAACAATTCTTTTATAGCTACAAGGCTGGTTAAATCTAACCCGTCTTCTTAACTTGTAATCATCAACCCAACATACAGTAATATTTCCAAAACTAACTAATGTGTATTGGAATAAAAGAATATTTTTTTTGTCTAATTTTTCTGTGTGCCTTTCGTTTTTTGTTTATTTATTTAAGCCGAAAATGTTATAAATAGTCAATTTTATTTTTAGTTGCTTTTCTTTTTTTGTTTTTTTCTTTTGTTTTTTCTCTTTCTCTTGAATGATGCATTTCTTGTTCTTTGGGCTATTATTTATCGAAATAATACAGGCGCTTGATTATGCTGATTTCGGGTTACCCAATAGAAATCCATGCGTCCTCAGTCATGGTGGAAAGGTGTATGTAATCAACCAACAATCACTCGCAATCAATTTTCAACAACCTTGGGAGAATACCAGTCCAGAAATAACCACGCATAATCTAACAACAGTCGGTGCATGTAGTATCACAAGATCAGGCAGAGTCATCTTAATACCTCTAGAGCAACAACAACCCTTACAGGTTATAGATGATATCACCTTATCATGGAATTTAAATAGTAACATCACTTATTTAGGTTCGCAAAATGCCATTAATTCATTCGTCGAAAGAACAATACCATTGACCAGTGCATTTGTTATCGCCGCATATAATGATTTCATAGTGATCTTTGGTGGATATAATGAGTCTAGTACTTTTATACTCGACACGCGTTACCCACCCTATATCTGGGATGAAGTATCCCTTTCACCTAATACACCAATAAAGACAGCTTCTTCTATTACTACACTGTATGCGACATCTCGCTGGATTCTCCATTTTCAAATCGATTCGAATATAATTTATATTTACTGTTTGGACCCTCTAAATTTGCAATGGTATGGATTGATTTCAACGTTTGAACTAGACAATGACCAAACACAATCTATTCAAGTTGTTCCAACCACTGAAGACCTTGACTCATTTCTCATCGTTGCCAGACAAGAAAATGAAACATATATCTCCACAACCATATGGCAGTCAAATACATCAGCCCTACTGCCGATGATTACCGTCACATTTGTAAATTCAATAGTTCAACAAACAGGCCAAAGAAGTGGCGGTGGATCTGTTTTGGTTACACGAATCGACGATGAAATGGCGCTACTTTATGGAGGCAAAGCAAATCTCGAATTCTTAAATACGACAAGCAAGTCATTTGTTGCAACACCTGAGTGGCTTACTGAAGGATCACCACAAGAAGATAATCATTTGGGCATCATTTTGGGTACAGTACTTGGCGGAGTCATGTTTATTATTGTACTTGTTGTTTTGTTTATCTGGTTGAGAAAGCGTAGTAATGTATCACTAAGCCCAAATAACACAAAACCGAAAAACATACCATCGATGAGCCAACAAGGTAATGCAATAATATTATTCTTTTGCGTGCTTTGCTTCGTTGTGTTGACTTTACTTTTCACAACTTTCTAGAGGAAAACTTGGAGCCATCACCATCGATTTCACAGTTCACATTGTCACCAATTAAAAGACTATCTCCCATCAGCCTTTTCCCGCTAGCTACTGATCACGTATCATCTGAAAACGAAGATGAAGGCATCACTGTACTACCTCAACAGCCAAAAATAAAAAGTAGATTTAAGGAACATTTCGATTTTCATGAGTCCATTGCATCTGGATCGTTACAAATAGATCCGAGAGAACAGTAACTTCCAAAACCTTTTGGTCAACATCATGTATATATAAAATCTTAGCATACCAACTATTTAATAATTAACTTTTTGTACAATTGAAATAAATAAAGAATCTTGACAGCTTTAGGGTTGTTGTAAAACTCCGACTTTTTGTTGTCGAATGTGGGATTTGTTGTTTTTATTTGAACACATGATTTAAATCAAACCATACCTGTCAATCAATGATACGTTGTTTAAATAGAGTCCCCGTAGTTAAATCAAATTCTGAATTAACAAAAATTGGTGGAATAAAAAGGGATGTTGGCGAAACTAGTATCAAACTCGAAATTAAACCCGTAGCATAGAGGACCGATGGTTGTGTCATTGCTACAAATCTATGTACCAAGCTATCTGTAGGCGAGGTCAGTCATTCGAAACTTCTTGCGAGATATTTGCGACCGTCTCCAATAAATACAAAGCGAGAGTCAAGTTTGTTTTACATATAACAATGCTGTCAGTATCACAGAAACTAATATGACTGACCCATTTAACAGGTGCATTTCTGGTACATGTTTCTAAGATAAGTCAAAAACTTGCACATGATGTACGTGTATACAGTGATCGAAGGTTCTTTTCCATGTCAGACACATGAGATTATGTGGTAATGGTTAGTGCAAACTCTTATTGAAACTCAAAGGGTTGAAATTATATTGCACATACAAATGATTTTTTCTGTCACCTAATGAAATAATATACAATAAAGGTTAAGAACTTTTATGTGATAGTTCGCAGCTAATCTGACATTCCAAAAGGAAGGGCATAATATTACAAGAACTGAGATGACTTAATGCCTTCTTAATTTTATGCGGAGTTGTATGACGTTGAAAATGGTTTTCATTGTCTTTTATGAGCACATGCTCAATTTCAAAATAATACCTGTCAAACAGAAAATCTTTGACTTAAAAATCTATTACAAAAAGGTCAAACTTTATAACTGATAGCAAAAGAAGAAAAATAAAATAAAAAAAAAGAAGCATGTCGAAAATGTATACCCGTAAACAAATATCAACAGAACAAATGAAATTCAAGTTTGTGAGTCATCACCAGTGCGTTTTTGCTCCTACTAAACTCCGATTGAAAAGTCACATATGTCCCCGCATTTAAAGAAACCTGTTCTTTTTTTTATTTTCTTTTTCTTCACCCTTTGTGATTTTATCCAAGTATGCTTTCCATTGCTCGAAAGACCGCCTTGTCAGGCAGCGTTGCGCGTATCGCTCAAAGAACCGTTCTCAAGCCTATGACTGTCTTGCCCACTCAAAGACGTCAATATACCGCTGGAAGTGCAACTGCAGAAAAGGTAAAACATCAAAAAAGATTATCTTGATTGAAAAGGCAATAATATCTAATGGGGCTCGAAATAATTAACTCAAATAAATCTCTCATGTTTAGGAAACTATCACTAAACTCTTATACAACATTGGTTCTCGTAAAGAGGTTGAACAGTATCTTCGTCATTTTTCATCCGTCGAATCGCAAAAGTTTGCTGTTATCAAAGTTGGTGGAGCTGTCTTGACTGATGAGCTTGAAACACTTGCTTCCGCTTTGACCTTTTTAAACAGAGTTGGTCTTTATCCCATTGTCCTTCATGGAGCTGGACCTCAATTGAACAAGTTATTGGAAGACGCAAAGATCGAACCTCAATATGAAGAAGGTATTCGTATTACTGATCCTGAAACTCTCGAGATTGCCCGTAAAGTCTTCATGGCCGAGAATTTAAAACTTGTTGATGCTCTTGAACGACATGGTACTCGCGCTAGACCTATTCCCGGAGGAGTTTTTGTTGCCGATTATCTCGATAAGGATAAATATGGATATGTTGGAAAGATCACAGGTGTCAACAAGGAAGTCATCGAGTCTTCCATCCGTGCTGGAGCCCTTCCCATTTTGACCTCTTTGGCTGAAACTCCCACTGGCCAAATCTTGAACGTCAATGCTGATGTCGCTGCTGCCGAATTAGCTACCGTTTTAGAACCTTTAAAGATTGTCTTCTTAAATGAAAAGAATGGTCTTTATCATGGTGTAACCGGCGAAAAGATCGATGTTATCAACTTGGATGAGGTAAGATAACAGATTATTTCATCTTTTTTTATTTTCCTGTTTATTCACGTGCTTTCATAGGAATATGAGGATCTTTTGAAAGAACCTTGGGTTAGATATGGTACCAAGCTCAAGATCAGCCAATGTAAGGAACTTTTGGATGGTCTTCCACGTTCTTCCTCTGTTGCAATTATCTCTGCTGGTCATCTCCACAAGGAATTGTTCACCGATTCTGGTGCTGGTACTTTGATCCGTCGTGGCCACAAGCTTTTCAAGTACGATCAACTCGACCAAGTTGACCCTGACAAGCTCCGTCGTATTATGGAAGCTGAAGATGCCACCATTAAGTCTGGACAAAACTCAGTCGCTAGTTATCTCCGTTCCCTTCAAAACAAGAAGGTCTCTATCTACACTGATGAGCCCGGACAGGTTTTGGCTATTGTTACCAAAGATCCTAATGATGCTTCCAAGCCTGCTGTTCTTGAGAAGCTCTTGACTTCTAAGACTGCCGTTTTAAACAATGTCCCCGAGAACTTATGGAGCTCTATTCGTAAGGATCATGATAACTTGACCTGGGTTGTTGATTCCAACAAGGAAGGTGCTCTTGATCGCTCATGGCATTTCGAGCGTGCTGACGGCTCACTCAAGAATGCCAAAGATGGATCCACCACCTTCTTCTACGGTATTAACGATAGTGACAAGATCAAGCAAACTCTCAACAACATTAACGATAAGAAGCCTGCTTCTGTGCCTTCAGGCACTCGTGCTTATTCCACTTACCGTCAAAACGCTTTCCAATTCATGTCTCGCCGCGGTTTTGCCAGCGCTTCCAAGCAAAAGAATGTCGGTTTGATCGGTGCTCGTGGTTACACTGGCCGTGAATTAATTAACTTGATCAATGCTCATCCTAACTTGAACTTAACCCACGTTAGTTCTCGTGAATTAGAGGGAAAGCCTCTTGAGGGTTATACCAAGTCTGATTTGACCTATGTTAACTTGAAGCCTACTGACCTTAAGGCTCAAACCGAAGTTGATGCTTGGGTCTTAGCTTTACCCAACGGTATCTGTACTCCTTTCGTCAAGCAGGTTAATGAAGATGTTAAGGCTGGCGAATCTACCGACAAAGTTTTGGTTGATTTAAGTGCTGATCATCGTTTCGATACCACTTGGACTTACGGTCTTCCTGAATTTAACCGTGAAAACATCAGAGGAGCTACCCGTATTGCTAACCCCGGTTGTTATGCTACTGGTGCTCAAATGTCTCTTCGTCCTCTTGTTCCTTTCCTCGATAAGCATTCTGCTCCTACTGTTTTCGGTGTCTCTGGCTATTCTGGTGCTGGTACCAAGCCATCTGATAAAAACGATCCTGCATTTTTGAGAGACAACATTGTTCCTTATGCTTTGACTAACCATATCCATGAACGTGAAGTTTCTTACCAACTCGGTACACCTGTCAACTTTATTCCCCATGTTGCATCTTGGTTCCAAGGTATTGCCTTGACTGTCAATGTACCTTTAGCCAAGACCATGACTAGCCAAGATATCAAGTCAGCATTTGAGGAATTCTATAAGGGCGAAAGACTTGTCCAAGTCTTGGAATCTGGAGAGCCCCTTGTTCGTGACAATGCTGGTAAGCATTTTGTCCGTGTTGGAGGATTCAACGTCCATCCTGATGGTCGCCGTGCTGTTATCACCACTACTCTTGATAACTTATTAAAGGGTGCCGCTACTCAAGCTGTTCAAAACCTGAACTTGTCTTTAGGCTTTGATGAATATGCTGGTATTCCCACCAACTAGACTAAATAATTGACATGTACAAAAAAATCCTGCATTAGACATTTATTATTTGATCATTCCCTTTTTACATATAAAAAAATAATAATGTATTTCTAAAAAAAAAAAAAAGACTTGTGTGACACCATTCCACATTTTTATTTAATGCGTCTCAGGCACGCCCAAATGACGTATTGTTAAACTCAGACGGTTTTATATTTAGACCCTTTCCAATATTTCTCTTGTTTCTCTTTTTTTCTTTACAAAAAATCATCATGTTTTTCTGTTTTACTTGTAAGTAAATCGAATATAAAGTAATAAAATGCTTGTTCATAACTTTATCACCTTTAGTTGGTATCGAACGATTTAAACGCAAGTCTGGCCACAACGTATGGCATTGCCCTAATTGCCAAGCCAAAGACGTTTATCTTATAAAAGGAAACCAATGCTTTACATTCTGCTTTATACCCTTAATTCCGGTTGGCGGCACGAAATCGCTATATGAATGTCAGACCTGTAACTGGGTTAACGTTCAGCAACCCAACTTTTAAAAAAATTCCTTCTTTACATACAATATATCCTTTTAATTCAAATAAACTTTGCTCCAAGAAATTAAACGTGACCAAAAAGCAGTAATTCATACATTTAGACCAGAGAGTATTGGTCACGTTAAAAAGACCAAGAAACCTCAGGAAAAAAAGATTTTTTTTAACAGCTGATTTTATAGTAAGTTATTAATTTATGGAAATGAAGTTGTTAGTGTATTTTGTAAAGACTCCTTTTTACAAAAGATTAGACACTATATCATGTAACTGCCTTGTAACGAGGTCAGAGACAAGCTCGTTTCTAAAAATAAATGGCAACTTTGAGTTTATGGTGAGAGTAAATAAACAATTAAATTACAATTTATCACACCTTATGCTAAGAAATAATCTGCCAAAAGTAAGACTACTTTGTATTATCATTCATCCCTGCAATCAAACCGGTAGAATAATGAATTCACACTAGATTATTTTATTACAGAAAAGATAACCCTACCGACTTCACTTAATAGCTAATATTATGCTAATGTAGCTTTAATAGACGTATTTCTAAAAGAAAATAATGATGTTATGACAACAGAATAATTATTTTTGCTTCATACTATAAAAATTGAATAGAATGAGAGTTGTTATGATTTGAAAATTGATTTCCATTTTTGGTTGACTCCTTTTCATAATACATTTGTTTTAAAACAGTTTACGATTTATATTGTGTAAGTATACACAAAAGCTGCATATTAATATCGTGAGAACGGTATGCCGTCTAATTCCACAATGGCGATATTTGAAGGCGGTTTCCCTTTTTTTTAAAAAAAAGGGTTGTGCACCCCTTCCAACTCCAATGCTAACCAATAACCAGCGACAATTTTGTATCTACGCGGTTGCCATGGCAACCGCTACGCGCATTTTGGTTTCCATGACAACCATTTGTAAGCCCGGTATCTGTGTCACAGCATAATCAGCCACAGTAACACTACCGAAATAAATATATAAAAGAAGCAAACCATCCCCTTTTCTTTTCTTTCAGTAAATTTTATTTTTTGAAAAAAGAAATGTCAAAAACAATGCCTACAAGATCCTCCTCGAGGGTGATCACAAAAAAGGTAAAAACCACCCTAATATCTCATACGATTCCATGATTAATAAATAAATACGATCATGCTAGCAAAACACAACCGGGATAGTAAAGGCTCCTACCAAGCAGCAAGCTCTAATCCGTAAAACCAAGAAGATAATTAAAAAATGGAATATCATTCGTATTCGTGACTTTAAGAGACAATCTGTAAGTAGAGCGTTTCACATCATATAGTATTACGCGTATTGACTAGAACCAAGGGGAAAATGATGTATTTGGTTGAGCGTGAAGGGCCTGATAACGACAACTGGGAATCTGAAGATATGATTGAGAGCTCCGATATTCTTACCGAATATCAACAGATGGTTTTGAATGAGTCAGGTTATTCCATTATCATTGGAGATCAACAAGGTCACCAAAGGCACTCTAGATCCTCTAAAACTCGCGCAGTTATGGCTTTGAAACAGTCTGAATATGATGATATGAATGTCTTTGGAAGCGAAAGTGATGCCGGTGATGTTCAAACTGCTAATAGAAGCCGTAGACCAAGTAAAAAAGACAGTGTTACAAAAAAGTCTATCAGAAAACTTACAGGAGGAAGAAAAACGAAGGCCCAGATTTTATTGGAAAACCAAATCGAAGAAAGATTGAATCGCATGGAGATGAGACGTAGTCTCAACATTGAAAAAATTGTGGAGCATTCAAATTGTCTTGGTGGGAAAGAGTGTTGCTTGCAATGTGGTGCTAATATATACAGAGAAGCGCTTGAAAAAGATGACTTAAACCAGTTGGAAACCGCTTTGAAAGATAATAGTATTACCAGCCATTCCTATGAGGATAAATCTAATGGCCTTGATTTCACTCGGTATGCAGTTTTGCTCAAAAAGCCAAATTTTATTGAGGCGGTTCAAAATCACTACAAAGATCCAAGTTCAACCAATTTTCCCGAAGTTCCAAGAAAGTATACCGAATATGATGGTGGAAATACTGGACGAAATGTAGGAATGGGTGAATACAATAACCGTAATTTTAGGTAATAACAGTAATACATGTTTACTTTGATGATGTATAATAACACAAACTTATATAGACGTGTGGAAGAGTCAAGAGGAAACCGTGTTGGTGATTCGGTCTTTTATAGAGACGAAAATGCTAAAAAATCCTTGATTAATCTTGAAAGTGGTATTGAAGAAAGTTGCCTTTTTTCTTTTCTCCCATATGTTTCCAAAGCTCCATTTTGTGACGAATCAGTAATCAGTACCTATATGCAAAATTTTGAAAATGGCTCCCATGATGTTTACTATGTTGCAGCTTCTGGAAGCAGAATTTTGGCTGGATATTTACTTTCACATATAACTGATGGGCGATCAACTTTTAATCATCTTCACAAGGAAGTTATCGAGGTAACTATAATATAAACTGCTTACTATTTTTTGTGCTTATCATACTTCTAGTATTCAAATAGAGAGACCTTGACCACTTACAAAAGAAATCAAGTCTTAAAAATGGCTTCTGATGCATTTAATGTTACTCCATATCATCTCTCTGCTATCAATCCAAGCGCTATTTATTTGAGCGAGTTTTACGAAAAACTTGACCCTGCTGAACGATTAGATACCGATGCTTTTGGTAGATCTGTTGCATTTTTTGCTGCCGTCAGTGAAACATCTGATTGTCTGGAGTTTCTTGTATCAAAAGGGTTCAACCTATCCCTTGTTGACAAATACAAAATGTGTCCGCTCATTCAAGCTGCTCGATTTGGTAGAAGTCACAATGTTGAAATTTTAATTAGACATCTCCGTGGTGGTCCTGAGGTTACGACTACTTCACCCTTTGTATTTCAAACCGCTGTACGTAACAGAAGAACCGCATTGCATTATGCCGCTTTTTTTGGTCATGCTGAAACGTGTGCTGTTTTACTCAAGTATGAAGCTCCCGTCGAATGTATTGAAAACCTTGAAAAACAAACTCCCTTAATTTTCGCTGCGAAGAATGGTCACGTTGAGTGTGTTCGTGTATTGATAGAAGAAGGAAAGGCTAATCCCGAAAAAGGAGACAAATTCCTAAGAACAGCCTTGCATTATAGCTGTATGAATGGTCATATAAACGTAGTCAAATACTTGCTTTCCCTCGGCGTGGATGCCAATGTTACCGATAGCTCTAGCAATTCTCCTGTTCATTTTGCTGCCGCTTTTGGATACATCAATATTCTACATTTACTTATTGAGTATGGTTCTGCTAACCCATCTGTATGTAATGTCTGGAGAAGCACACCATGCTCTGTTGCCAATATGAAAGGTCATATTGGGATTGTCAAGTATCTTCTCGGTATGCCCAATAGTAAAATCGACGTTAACTTTAAGAACCAAACTGGGTGCATCATGCTACAAAATACAATCGACGAGTCTGTAGATACATATATGGAAAAACAAACTAACATTGAAAAGGTTAAATTATTACTCACGATGAAGGCCGATGCTAACAGTGTTAATATTGAAGGTAATATGGTATATTATAAGAGATTAAACAAAGCGTAAAACTAAACTTATTTTAAACGTAGGAGAGACCTCCTTACATACATTGGTTTCCAATGTTTCTTATTCTAAACTTTTACCCAAGGGTTGGGAAACGTTATGCTCTAGTCCACGTTATCATTTCCAAGCTAGCCCAGTTAAACATGATGATATTGAAGGTGTGGATTACCAGAATACTTTGGCCGATCTTCTGGTCAAACATGGTGCCGATTTGAACATTAAAGCCTCGAACAACGAAACTCCACTTGCTACGGCCATGCGTTTGAAAAATCATCATTTAGTTGCTACCCTTATTAAATATGGATCAAGATTCTGGACAGATGTGGACAAAGATGGAAACAACTTCTTCCATTACTTCGGTGAATATGCTGGATTTATTAATGGTCTTCAGCCCCATTATGACTTGGATGTTCTTGTGAAGAAACGACATGAGGATATTGCTAAACAAATGTGGAAAAGTGTCGAGTCGATTTCAATTAATTTTATGCTTGATATTGAAAGAATTGTAAGTATCCTACTCCATAGCTTTTTCAATGACTGACATGTCCTATAATAGATCAATCTGCCCAATTGTCAGGGTATTATTCCTTTATATTTTGGAGTTTTCAGCGCAATAAAATATCAAAAGGACGCCATGGTTCGCGAAAAGAAGCTGATTTTGGCCGGAATTGAATATGTTCAAAATAACGGCTCGGGGATATATGGCTCTCCCAGTTACAACGAGTATTCAAACAAAAACAAAAAAAAGAGATATCCTAGAAAATTATTCGACAAGGTTACCTTGCCAGTAATTGTCAATTTACAGTTTGACTTTAAGTTATGGGTAAGAAAATTATTTGATACCTTTTTAACCAGATTTATAATATTATTTTAATTTTCCTGTAGATTGAGCTCATGGATGGTATGGTGACCAAGTTTAGGCCCAGAATGAATGAAGTTGTTGGTTTGCCTAAAGACTTTAAGAAGAGCAATCCCAAATCGACCAAGAAGGACTATCCTCTATTAACTGGCTATACGGCTCTCCATATCGGTAAATAAATTAAATAATTATGGAAGTTTTGGCAGAAATGACTGACAATTTTTTGAACAGCTGCTGAATCTCAATGTGTTGATTTAATACAATTTCTTTTGGCAAATGGTTGTGAACCCAATATCAAAGTCCAGCTGAACGACGAAATCCTTTCGGGAGACACGCCTATTATTATTGCATATCGTCTTAAAAAAGATTCTCATCAAGAGTTACCTGACCAATCTTTGGAATCTGCTAAAAGATTGAAGATATGCTTTACCATTTCTAAACCGGATTTTAAGAAAATGCTTCATCAAACAATCAAGACTTTAATCCAGTTTAACGCTTGTCCATTCATTACCAACTCCTTGAAAATATCTCCTATTATGAATGCTTCTGCTAGATTGGACGATAAAAATCTTGCTGAGATGTGCAGGAGCAAGTGTTCAGATGATGCGAATATTGATCAATTAAACGAAAAAGATGAAAGTGCTTTGATGATAGCCGTTAAATCGATTGCTTCTAAAATATCCCAGGACAAAAACTATACTGTTGGAAGCATTGAATCTCTCTTAAAAGCTGGCTCAAACCCCAATGTTATTTTCGAAAATGGTGATAGTGTATTGATCAAGATTGTCAGAACTGCTAGTTTTTCCCTACTCCAAGCTTTTCTCCAAAGCTCAATTGTAGCTATTAATCACGATCTTAAGACAAAAAGTGAGTATAATTTTATATAAACTATTTAAAATAAGCCACTAATTTGTTAATTTTTAGAACTTGAAAATGCTTTGATAATTGTCTGCAAGTCAAACGTACTCGATTTTGTTTCTTATTATCTACAATACTTGAGAAACACCTCTGTCTCGTGCGATGTCAATTGTATGGATGTTGAGGGTAATACAGCGCTATCTTATGCAGCTAAGAATGGAAATCTTCAAGCTGTCAATGATTTGCTTCTACTTGGCGCAGATCCAAACTTTAATGATGGTCGACATATTCCGCTTTTCGAGGCTACCCATAGTCAGGACATTAATATAGTCGAATTGCTTTTAAAGCACGGTGCGAGTGTAAATAGCAGGGACAAAGCAACTGGAAATTCTGCTCTTCATAACTCAATCCTTACCGAAAAACATAAGATCGTCAAGCTACTTTTAGAAAATGGCGCGGATTTTGAATCAACGAACTCGAGAAAGCAAACACCCATGCATCTGGCAATTGAAACAACAAAGAAACAGATAAATCGGTCCTTCCGTGTTGAGCGTCTTTTGATGAAAGCAGGTGCCAATGCAAATGCCGTTGATTTTTTCGGTATGTCCTTTTAGTCATTGATAAGTATAAACATAAAACTAATTTCGTCTTTTTCCTTTAAGGCCGAACACCTCTCCATTATGTATTTGTTGACAGTGAATTAATACCCTTAACACGTAATACTGGCATATTATCTAAAAAAGTCAAGAAAATAGCTAAGGAGCTAAAAGCTAAGCAAGAAAAAATTCAGTATTTAAATGCCTATGCCCACAAGTTCGATCTCGATCAAGCTTCTGAATTACCTGGTGATAGTACAGATTCTCTAAATGTTTGGATGAAAGTTGCAAAAGAGACACAACTTTATGAGGCTGAATGTACAGAAAATCATGAAAAAAGCAAAGTCGATGGTATTATTGTATTGGACCAGGAAAGAGAGTCACTAAAGTCATACTGTGATTGCAAGTGGGAAGAAGCTACAGTATATCCAGCAAGATCTGATCCTATTGATATACTTACTTATCTATCAGACTTCAAAGAGTTGCAGCTTGATATTAAAGATGAATTTGGGAGAACTCCTTTTCACTATGCTGCTTGCGTTGGTGCATTCAGTTGTACATCTCTCCTTATTAAAAATAAGATTGACATCAATGCAATAGATTCTGATAATGTAAGTAATAAATTACAAGTAAGTATGTCAATAATTAATTTAGCCTTATTATATGTAGAATGGTCCACTTCAGCTGGCTCTCAGGAGTAACTTTGTTGACTACTCGGTTATGCTTTGTAATTATGGTGCTAACGTCAGCAATAGTATCGTTCTAAAAAATGGGGAATCCATGTCTACCTTTGGTTTTAGTTTATCACAATCTCTTATTAATATGGCCTACTTAGCCATCGATAGCGGTATCACCCTTATGGGTAAGTGAGCGAAAGGTGCACAATTTTCTTTTGCTAATTTATCATTTATATTTAGAATCCATCAGGGACGCATTAAAAAACGGTAATAAACAATTGCCACAATATTCTTTATATAAGGTTTACTTATTATTGATTCTTATAGGAAAATTTCACATGGTTGAAATTTTGTTAGGATCCGCTCAAGATGATTCCCTTTCTCAAGAATTATTCGACGGTCAGAATATCTGGCATGTTGTTTCCAATTTTAGGCCATTTAACACTGAAATCTGGGAGGAATATGTAGAGGACATAATCGAAAAACTCCTGTCTCTCAATCTATCTATTCATCTTGACGCTAACCGTAGATCGCCCATTAGTTATGCTGCAGAGAATGGGCAATCATTGTTACTTAAACAATTACTTTCCATGGACAAAACTCAAGTTCAAACTATTGACAAGGACGGAAAATCCCCAATTGATTACGCCGTTGATTCCAAAAACCTCGCTTGTGTCAAGGTGCGTAGACTTTATTAGTTATTATTTTTGATATTTAACGCCTTTTATAGGAGCTTTTATTTGCTGGAGCAAGTGTCATTAACACCAGCGGATTCCAAAAGCCTTCTCTTGTTTTAAAATCTGTACAAGCAGGCAGTCATGATATCACTGAAATTTTATTACGATATAACTCACCCATCAACGAAGATAACAACTATGGTCTTACCAGTCCTATTATGATTGCGTGTCAAAAGAAAGATTTGAACCTGGTGAAACTTCTAATTTCAAGCGGTGCGGATGTAAATGTACCTTGCTATGTTGAAAGAACAGATGAAACGGGAAAAAAGTATAGAGTCCTTCTTTATCCTATATTTGCTGCTTCTTATCCAAAGTCATTATTGCTAAAGGAATTGTTAAAAGCTGGCGCTAATCCTAATGTCAACGGCCCTGAATCAAAACCGGAACTTGGTAGATCTTGCTTCATGTATAATGTTTTCCTTGATTCAGTTGAAAATCAAGAGGTAAGATACTTGACAATGCATTAATTTGTGTGCCTAACGGAATCGAATATAGACATTACTTGAATACGATATTGACTTAAATGTTGTTGATTCAATATCACGTCGTACTATATTTTATCAATTTTTCTTTGGAAAAATGAAATACATAGAGAAGTTTGAAGACGGTGCCAACAATGACAATGACAGGTTAAACTTTAAAGACATCATTTTTGAAAAAATGATTGAATCATTCAAACCCAATGTTAATTTTGTCGATAACATAACCGGTATGACACCTCTTGAACTTGCAATACTTGAGAAAAATGCAATTGTAGTAGAGGTAATATGAAAACATTATTTCATACGTGTTCATTTAAATCTAACCCTAAAGTCATATATAGCAATTACTTCTGCTTGGGGCTGATGTTAATATTAAAAGTTGCAATACCACTGATCATTTTATTTCTTCAAAAATGATGAACCCTTCCAGAAAACCTGTTCCTGCAGTACTTCACGTGATCATGCAAAACAATCTAGATATGCTTGACCTACTTTGCAAAAGAGCTCAAAACAAAGTGGATTGGAGATGGATCGATGATGAAAATCGCAATATTTTTTCATATCTTGTTGGATGTAATGGCGGTTTCTCTCACGAAAATGATGTTCTTATGAGCTATATAATTGCTGAAATTGATATCATAACACTACAAACTCTGTTACAGATGAGGGATATATATGGTAAGGACACAATAAAATAGTCGACTCTTATTATTGGTAGTAGCCCTAATATTATACTTTCATTCGTAGATATGTCTCCAGTCTGCTATGCTTTTGAAAGAAAGAATAAGTCGCTATATGATGCTCTGAGAAGACTAAGAATTAGATACAATATTACTCGACGCAATATATCTGCACATAATGATGGTCCATCAATGGAAATTGATTTTATTTCAACCCAACAGGTCGATCTAGATGCTCAAATTGAACGTGAAATTTTGCAAAAAGAAAAAGACCTTGCAAAGCCAAAAGACTCTTTGGTTACAGACGATGATTGTAATGTAGCGACTATAGTGGATGCTTATTCTAATTTGGAGAAGGTTGGCTATGTTATGGTGGACGAAAACAATGGACCCTATGATACTATGCTGATCAAGGTTGAACTTCCAAGTTATGGCCAATTCACTGACACATGGTAAGAATTTTAAAATATAAATGCGATATATTAAACAAAATTAACCGGCTCTACTTTAGGTTCTATAAGATGAGCATAATTCACAACAAAGTTTTAAATCTCAACATTCTTTGGACTCGTTGGGGAAAGCTTGGAGACGAAGGGCAACATCAAAAAACGCCGTTTTTGAGCCTCGAAGAAGCTGTCATCGAATTTAAAAAAATCTTCAAGTCTAAAACTGGCAACACGTGGGAAAATAGTCAAACATCTTTTGTGCAAAAGCAAAATTGTTATGGTATTCTCAAGAAATACAGTCACCCGAAGGATAAGCTTATGGAGAACTTTGATTTTCTAAATTCTACTCTACCTGTACATTTACCTTTTGAGGTTTCAAATGTCATGAAACTCATCTGTAATTTCACCTATCTGTCAAGGGTTTATTCTGATACATCTATTGATATGCCTCTGGGTCAAGTCCCTCAAAAGACAATTGAGAAAGCACGGGACTTGCTAAATAGTGTCAAGTATATGTCGGCTAAATTAATTGAAGCTAGAGGGCATCCTTACGATAGATCCAAAATTGGCGAAGTTAAAAGTAAGTACGTTTAATAATTGATGACCATCGTGTTAACCTTTTCATTGAATTATTTCAGCATGGGAATTTAAAATTGCTCAAAAGTGTGTTGAGTATGCCCGACTGCTACCTCGTATCGGTGAGAGCAATATGCCAGCAAGAAGACTTTTTGATGATTACTATGATGATTTCAAGAAAGAGTGTTCAAGAGTAGAGGATTTAAGCTATGTTAGCTTTGCTGCTAATGTCATACTTGCCGCCAGGCTTCATCTAGATAGTATTCATCCATTTCAATACGTGTACCAGACGTTGAACTGTTCTCTGAAAACATTGTCATGCTCATCCGAATATCAAATGATCAAGAATTACATGCAGTCTACTTCTAATGGTAGCAACGAACTAGTTCATCTTTTGGCTGTTAACCGTACCGAAGAAGAAAGTCGATTTGACCCGTACAAGGCAGAGTCTAATCGTAAACTTTTATGGCATGGATCCCGTGTGGGTAATGTTTTGGGTATACTGAAACAGGGTCTCCGAGTTAGTCCAAAGACTTCATCTTCTAATGTAAGTAACTTTTAAAATCGAAAAAAATGTCATTAATTTAACTTTTATGTTAAAGGGTGCTATGCTTGGCAATGGCATTTATTTCGCCGACACTTTCTCGAAATCCTTAAATTACGCCAATGAAGACTATGGATCTCATCAATCAGACTATAAGATTTTGTTATTATGTGAGGTTGCACTTGGTTCGAAGACGGCGGTCTATGAAAATTATCTCAGTACAAACAATACCGATAAATTACACTCCATGAAAGGTGAAGGAAGTAACGTACCCGATCCCAGCAATGCCTTATACAATAATGACGGTGTATGTATTCCTATGGGCCCATGTGTACCCTTTTCTCGTCCTAGTTCTATAAGCGGTCAGCCACCGTTACTCGGCTATAATGAATTTGCTGTCTATGATGTAGACCGTGTCAAGATTCGTTACCTTTTAATAGTTCGAGAATCAACCAAGTGTTATTTGTGTTCTGCATCCAATCAGCATAATCTAAAATCTCTTTACAAGCACAATGTTAAAGCTCACAACCTTTCTGCATTTAATACCTTTGAAGGCGAAGTGATTAAGGCATACTTATCGTACGAAAAATTGTCACCCCAGGATATCTTTGAACAAGGACTAGGCAATCTTATTGAGACTGGAGAGTACAGTAAGTTGAAATGTCAGATAATTTTGAGTCATACTAATTTTAATAATTTAGAAAAAAAATGGAACGTTCCACTGGATTTAACTAAAGAAAGTAAAGTTTGCCATACATGTGCTTTAGATATTGCGACTATTCTCCTTGAAAAGAGGATGACTAGTAGTACTATTGATATTCCTGGTAGGTCATGACAACATGCTTCGCACCCATATACGCTAACAATGCTCTTTATTAAGACTCCCTCAGAACTAGGCCATACTGTCGATATGGAAAAGAATGCCGATCACAAGTTAGAATTAATCACGCTAAGAAATACCAACACTGGCTTAGGGAAAACATTTCCGAAGAAAGCGGCGAGTCTCAAACATTAGAAAATGCTGAACCTAAACTCGATTTGGCAGCTGATACCGAAGACGAAGAAAGTCATTCGGAAGAAACCGAAGATGAGGACGAGGATGAAGATTTAATGGAAACTGATGACGAATAACTTAATAGGTTCTCCATATATGCCCCCTTTTAAACATTTTCCCAATAAATTTTATGCACTATGCACATTCCTTTCTATTTTACCTACATGATTTATTTATGCATCGTGCTACTTGAATACGAAGGTGCTATTGCTTTGAAAAATAATGATGCATGTCCCTTTCTTAATGGTACGATATCGCATTCGCTGTCAAAAAAAAATTACTTAAGGGGTTCGGTATTAAGACGGTTTGAATTATTTGCATTTTAGTGACTTTTTGGAAAATTGACAAAGCTTTCTTTCCGGATCAGGTACACGCAAAATAGACAAGAATTTGAAGGGAGGCTTCAAGACCAGAATTAAAAAAGTAACATCTGAAAAAACGTTTCTAGCTAAATATATTGATATACTCATTAAAAATTGAATGGCTAGAGTTTGATGAGGATTTCAAAGATCGATAATGAAGTAAATACCTTAAGTAACTTTACACAAAAAATTCATGACACTGCTAATTTTTCAATAGCTAAAAAATGATCTTTGTGCATCATCATTTAACAAATTAATCAGATTTCTTTTGATACAGTTGCGAAAAACTTTAAATAATAGAAGTTATATTTTCTAACCCAAGTTCATTTATTATAATTAAAACTTTTATAGATAGCCGTTGTTTGCATGTGGTTGACGTGTGTTTGCTCCCAGAAGCATGAATAAAAAAGATAGTTCAAGATGATTGTTACGGTTCTTACCCAGCTATTTATATAATAAAATAGTTTGCAAATTTCATAAGAATAAGTGATGTTTCAATGCTCGTAATACCCCATAGAAAATATAAATCTTCAGTTTCAAAAAAATACCGTAGTTTAATTGATTTAGGACAATAGCATAAAGATGTTTTTTCAAGTCGAAGATATATCATAATCAAAGACAATTGCTATTGTTTTGAAGTTGTACACAACGAGTTTTAAAATAATACAGGTAGGTGTAAAGATATAAAATAGCTACTAGACGAGTTAACAATTTTATTGAAAAAATTGACGTTGATTGAAGCCTTTCGAATCTTAAAAAAAAAAAAAGGAGAAGTGTATAATCAGAAGAAAATACATTTAGAGGAACATTATTTAATTTTTGTGTTATTGGTACGAACAGTTTCGAGTAAGCTTTAAGATAAAATTTAGCTGTGATAACAATGTTAAAAAGTACCGTTGTATGAGTTATTAGATTAATTAAAAGAGACATAGAAATACAAAGACGACAACTCCGTATGTGGCGTACTAAAAACACGGCGAAGACCTCACAGCCATTATTTATTAAATGCAAAAAAAAAAAAAAAAAAAAAAAGTTCCTTTGATAGACATTGCCTACTAAAATAAAAAGTTAGTCGTGTTTATTAGTGACAGACAAACTGGTGTCTGGTCCTGTACTAAAAGATTCAGATATAACGGAGGGACTCATTTTGATTCAAAGCTGTCAATATATGTATCATCAACGAGAATTAAGAATCCCAAACTTATATTGTATGCTATGTCTATTCAACGTATCCATAATTACAACAATTATGAGGCAACGAAAAACTGACAGAGAGAGAGTCAAGACAGTTTAAACAATTGGCAACTGGCTGGGTGAGTTCAAGCACAGTCTTTATTCAAATCCCGTCCTCACAATCCGGCTTAAATAAAGTCAGTTACAATGACGATGATAAGTGTGTCAAAAAATCCCTACAAATGGCAAGAGATGGCCAGAAATATTATCTGGTATTGGAGGTAATGCAACTAAGCTTGTTTACGCTTCATATCGTTATATCGTCTTTTCTTTTTCCGCCCTTAGTGACTGCCTCAAATTCACGGAAGATCTCTGGAGGTGACTGTACATTGATTTTAACAGCGTGGGGTTGGAATAGACCTGGTACCCCTTTTTCAATAAGCAAATGTTTTCTCGGCAGTTGACACGTTCCATTCAAGCGAATTCTCGTAAGATATTACTATTCATTTAGATAGCTGTAAATAAATTATTTATTTATTGATAACACACATAGGTGTACTTGCACAAGCATATCCTCTCATAACTCGCTCATTGCACATTTCTAAAGCATGTTTAAACAAAGCTTCCAAAGTCAATGGTAAATAAAAAATATTAGCCAAAATTATCAGAAAAGGAAATTAATTTTAAGGCAGACGTTTCCAAGACGAATGAACATGACCACCGGGCCATTGGTAAAGCTCAGTCATTATTTATGACACATGCTGTCAGTCCAGGTTCTATTTTTATGTTGCCTCATGGCACACGTATTGTCCACAAACTTCAACAATTTTTGCGTATGGAGTATGCACGCTATGGATATCAAGAAGTCATGACACCGTTGATCTATAAAAAGGATCTTTGGGAGACAAGTGGGCATTGGCAGAATTATAAGGAAGATATGTTTATGGTTCAAAGTGGACGTGAACAAAAGTGTTCTCACAGTCACGACCACGAACAAGTGATTGATGCCGACGAGGGATTGTTCGGTTTGAAGCCTATGAATTGCCCTGGTCATTGTTTGATTTTTGATAGCACACCAAAGTCGTACCGGGATTTACCAATTCGATTAGCTGATTTTAGTCCTCTTCACAGGTAAAAAGAAATGATAGGGAGAAAAGGACCTATAATGAATATTAACAATTTTTGCGTAAAGAAATGAAGCTTCCGGTGCTCTTTCTGGATTAACTAGAGTGCGTCGATTCCATCAAGATGATGCGCACATTTTCTGTGCTGAAGAACAAATCGCCTCTGAAATTACATCTTGCCTTTCATTTGTCGATCGTGTCTATTCAGCATTCCAGTTCCCTCATTATGATTTGACACTTTCCACTAGACCCGAATCACAATATATAGGTAGTTTGGAGGAGTGGACTCATGCTGAAGAATCATTAACTCAGGCATTAAATGCAACTGGGAGACCTTGGTCTATTAAGGAAGGTGATGGTGCATTTTACGGACCCAAGATTGATATCATGGTTAAGGATTCAAGTGGTAAATCTCATCAAACCGCCACCATCCAACTTGATTTTCAATTACCTCAACGCTTCGGACTCAAGTATGTAGATGATAAAGATGTTGAACGCACACCTGTGATTGTGCATCGTGCAATTTTGGGATCGATTGAGCGTATGATGGCAATTTTAATTGAGCACACTGGCGGTAAATGGCCTTTCTGGTTGAGTCCTCGTCAAGGTGTTGTCATCCCAGTTTCGACACAATTTTCAGACTACGCTAAAAAGGTTGCCCAGGATTTGTCATTGGGAGAAAATGCTGAGGCTGCACACGATCAATACTTTGTCGATGTTGATAAGTCACCCCGAGATAGATTAAATAAGATGATTCGTCAAGCCCAGCTTGATCAATACAATTTCATCTTTGTGGTTGGACAAAAAGAAATGGATGAAGGTACTGTGAATGTAAGAACAAGAAAGGGGGAAGTATTAGGAACAATGAGTGTAGATCAAGTTCGTAAAATGTTTGCTTCGATGACCTCCAAATTAGAATAATAAAAAAAATAAAATGTGTACATACTATGACAACAGGTCTTTCCCAGACAAAACTGTAATTATTCTCCGCATTTGTGTGTAAAGAATCAGCAGACCTATTTCTTTTATTTAGGGGTAACAGCAACTACTTACCACTTCCCTTGTCTAACAACATCCTGCATTTCAAAGAGGAGTAAGTCAAAAAGAAAGGGGATCTTCAAACAAGATATAATTCATACTTTTTTTCAAGATTTTCTTGTTTTGCTTTTCTTTTTTCATCAAATTTAGACAATAAATGTTCAATCGTCAAATCACTTGGGTTGCAGCTATTTTCCTCGTACTTCAATTTGGTGTATATACAGTATCTGCCATTATTGGATGTGCGGCTGAAGCAAAGTAAGAGTTTTTTCTTTAACAAAACTATGTCGTTAGGATATTTATCTAATTTTAAAATTATTAGTTTTCAGGCATGTAAATCTATAGAAGTAAGTTTGCTCAATGGATGTGGCCCTGTTGATTACAGCTGCCAGTGTAGTGCACAGGTATAAATTTTTTGTAACAAACTTTTTTGTACAAGGCTAAGTATCTAATAGTTTTTCCTAAATCATAGAAATTGATCCACCAATGCTTTAATCTTTGTCCGGAATACAGTATCGATGCTAATGAACAAGCAAGAATCGCAACCAGTATCTGTGTGGCCGTTCCTACTACCTCTGCTGCCCCTGTTACCTCCGGATCTCATGTAGGACCAAGTCAGGCTTCCCCTACTTGGGTTGCACCAGCAACTACAGGATCGACCAGCGCCCCTTCATCCAGTCCATCTGTTTCCTCTTCGTTCGGTGTTCAAATCACACCAGCTACTGGATTCATGTCTGTGATTTTAGTTTTAGGTTTTGTATTTCAATTTTAAGTTTTATTAATTACACTAATAGTTTACGCACAAAAGCTATGATAATAAATAGTAAAAATGGCAGTTGCTTGTTTCTTGTATTTGGAAGTTTGCATAAACTTCTTTCTTAATAACAATTTTCTTGCATCCGCATATTATTCTATTGTAGTTTCGATTTTTTTGTAAACAAAAAAACCATCAGTCCAATTATAGCCTCTCTTTTAATACTTGATTTATATTAAAGGGATCATACTGATTGTCTGATGACAAATTTCTAGCAGCTGGTATTAAGCTATGTATTTAAATTTTATACTTTTTTATACCTCTACCTGATTGCACAAAAGCTTCGTTCAACTATTACTAGCTCTAAATATTACATTTCAAGTGGATTATAATCACCACTGATAATATAATTACAACACAAATATTTAATCTCTATGTCAGGAAATAGTCATATTCGACTTGCAAAAGTTCTGGTGTGGCATTTAAAAAAGGGAGCCAAATATTGGCAAGGTATCATTAAAAGAAAAAAGGGGGAAGAAGCAGATTATAGTTCTTATAAGGTTATGTGACTCAGTACACAGACTAAATTATATCAATATTATTTTGTATTATACAATAATGATGGTCAATGGGCATTGTTTATAGTATGATGTATGTAACGTAACTTGTATGTTAAATGGCTACAGTTTTCACACTTTTAATTCAGAAAATGTTAATTTTTTTTCAAACGAATCAAAATTTACTTTCAGACATTGACTTACCTTTTTTGGACAAAATAAATAAAAAATCAGACAAATGAAATTTAGTTTTCAGATAATTTGATAAGTTACTCTAAGGTTTACCTGTAAAATCTTTAAACCTTCTCCTCACTTGTGTGAGACGAGGTAACCACATTAAAGGTGACGTTTAGTCTTTAAAAGACAGTTGGTCGGCCTTGGCCATCCCAAATGGATTGAGATATAGCAAGCATATTTTTCGCAGCCATCACATCACGATTCCAAAAAATATTGCATAGTTTACAAATCAATATTTGATGGATGTGCGAGAATTTTTCGTCAGTACCGCACCTCATGTTTTTTAAATCATTACTAAAACAAGAATTGCATGTCTATAAAACTATTACTTTAGTCGAAGGTAATGATATAAATTAATATACTAACCTTTGATGTTTTAAATTCGTTAATATCAACAAGAAGTAACTCTCCAAGCTTCTCTCTTCTTTTCAATTGTCGATAAAGCTCGTCCGTTACACCGGAGCGCAAGCCCTTAAACTTTGTTTGGCTTTTGTTCTTAAGTCCATCGCCAAAGACGATTAAAGGCATTTTATTACGATCCCCTTCTTCGAATTTCTCTTTATGTTCTCTTCATGCAAGTTTCATTATTAAAATACAATCATATCAAGGTTTGTTAGCACGCTTACCTTTTGATATTTTTCGGTTTAGATTTTGAAGAATCAACTATTTTAGATCTCCTTCGCTTTTTACTCTTCTTCTTGTTTTTCCTTCTTTTCTTGTTGTACTTTGTAGATCCATTTAAAAGGATATTAATGGCGTCCTCTATACTCTTTTGTGATGCGATATAATTACACCATCTACTATTGGTAGTTCTAAACCCGTAGAAATTAAACAGTGTATCAATATGTTGGAGAATATACGTAATATACAGTATATAGATATCATGAGACGTGGTTTTAGGTGAGGGGATATTGGTCTCAATTTGATCAATACCCAAGCTTTTCTTGAGTTCTTGTTCCTGTTTATGTCTTTGCGTAACACCGCCCATATTGTAGTATTCTTTTGAAGAAAGACGTCTCACATCATTGTCTCCATGGTAGGATATAAACACATCCTTCCTTCCGGGATCAACTGTACATGGCCTAAAATAAGTATTTACCTCTTCAGTGTTAAAGTCATCGAGTTCTAGGGCAATGCTTTTAATTAACGAAGATGGCTCAGTACGACGACAGAATAGTAAGCGGCAAGTATAACCATCGGTGTACATCCCGTTCAAAAACATCTTGCCATTAGTTGCAGGCAGCTCCTTCAGATCTTTAAGGCTAATAATAATAGACAAAATGTTTATTATTAATATTATATGAAGAAGGTTCTCAATGCTCTTTCTTTCGTATGTACCTTCTAATTTTTAACTTGGCAAAGTTAAAACAATCATAAAAATACCTTTGTGTGAAGCTAAATAAAGTCTCGTTCTTTTCTTTCTTTAACTTTGAGCCAGGGAATATACCAGTAACGTTTGACTATCGATTTTGATAAAGCGCCACTGCAAACCTGGATTGGGAAACCTGGATTGGGAAACAGGCTAAATATTCTTGGCAGTACAAAATGCTTTGCTTTATCATCTTTCTTCTTTTTTTCACCAGATTGAACCGTATCTTGAGATTTTCCTGGTTCTGAGTCATGCTTCTGTAAAGTAGAATTTTCCGCAATGATCGATTTATACTTGGATAGAATGTGTCTTAATGCCGGTAAAATACCAAAAGGGGCAGTATTCTGAGTTGCCTTTGTAATTGTGAACGATGGCAAGCGGTTCTTGAGCTCCACAATTAAAGGGTTTATAAATGCCTGTAAATCATTTTTTGTTTCTTGGCTTAATGGTGGGAGGATATCATCATTTAGAACGGCAACAGGATCAGATGATAGTACTTGATCTAAAACATGTTCATATACAAGTTTCCTTATGACAGATTTTTTAACGTCCTAAGTTAAGTTTGTTAATAACTTGTAAGTTAGTGCTTCCTGATAGTAACTTACAGGAAATTCTTTACAAATCATATAAATGAAGTAGTTGCAGATAATGTTCTGAAAATTCTCAATGTAATAGTTATTATAACACGTAGCAGTGGTTTCACATGCAGTTGCAAGCACTTGACCATAATTTTCAGCCCATCTTTTCTAGGCTTAAGTTTACTCCCTCTAAATTATTAAGCTCCATCCATACGTCTTCCAAGTGGTGAATTTTGGCATACTTTAACTGAAAGTCTTTGATCGACAGCTGTTTACAAACCACTCTACACAATGAATACCAGAAATTTTGCTGGAAAAATTCATTGGACAAATTATTGGGGAATTGTAAAATGTAGTCATTGACAAGGATTTGAGCTTTAAACAAAACAAGACGTAAGAAACTAGATAGATCCTGGATCTTGTTTACGGCCTTCTGTAATCGGTCATCATCATCATCTGTTTCATTTAAAAAGCCCTTTAATGGAAAAGATATAGTATATCTTTGATTTTTAGCACCAAGATCCTTTTCGATCAATTCTTGCAAGGTATAGTTATGGTTAGGGCACAATTTACTTCACCCAGAAGAATGACCACTTGTATCACAAGACTTGCAAATCAGGGTCGATGAGCTTGAAGACGCAGTGGTCCTCTTTCTTTTAGCCTTACTCTTTTCTTTTTTCGCTTCAAATGTTTCTTTTCTCTTTAGGCCTGATTTATTTTATGAGTTATTATGTTTGGCTATATACCTGAACATATACAGTGCATTTTTACCTCTGTTTCCACCAGCAGGTTGATTCATTGTGCTGGTTCTCGTTTCGTCCCCCATCTTAGCAAGTTTAGCTGTTATTTTGGCATTTATTTTATCTTCTGTATCTGGGTAAATACGAGGTCTCATATTTTTTTTTGTGAAAGAAGCACTGTTTGATGTATTGTCAATTAAATCAAGTTACATTATAATGCTCAAAGTCAACGCCATCTAAAGTAATTGAAATTCCGTTTCTCCCCCTTTTTACTGTTATAACGTATTAACTGAGGATTTGTGTAAAAAGAGCTCATAAAAATACACCTTTTAAAAACATTATGAACTATCAATGCAGAATATGAAAACTGTAAAATTCATAGGATACATCCTTTGATAGCCTTTGTCTGGAATTTTTTTTTTATTCTATTTGTATAATATATATATATATATATATATATTACGTTAGTCTGAATCATTTTTTTTACGTCTGTCTGGAATATATTTTTGTTCATCTGAAAACATTTTTGAGTTCTCCTTGTCTGAATTTAAAGTGCTAATACTGTAACAGTGACCCAAGAATTCTGATTTAACAGACCATGCCGTTTTAAAGTATGTGGATGTATATACTCAGCGCACTACATTTTAGAAACCATTAGAGTCGTTTAAAACGGTACAGTCTGACTTACAGTCTTAAGTGGACCGAAAAGAATGCCGTATTTACTATTGCTAATGCGAGAAAATGTACCAATAAAAGGTTTAGAATATATTGACAACATCATGAATAGTTTATAAGTTCTATTCCAGTAATACAGTTTACTGCATAAAGTATCAAAATTGCAGCTTTGTAAAATTTGAAAGACGACATTCAAATAGTGGAAACCCAGCCAACACTAGTGAGGACTTACACCAATTTATTTCGCATGAAATTGTAGAAGGCACAGATATCTTTAAGCTGCCAGAAACGGGTGAGAACAATTATTTTTAAATAGAAAGGTAGTAGAATTTCCTTTTTATTTATTATTTATACATTGCAATACAACAAATATATAAAAAATCTTCGTTTACTTGAGGGGAACAAACTTGGAAGAATGGGTGGCACCAATACCGGGACGACCATGCTTAACGGGCTTGTAAGAGATGGAGAATTCGGCGAGGTAGTGACCAGTCATCTCGGGCTTGATTTCAATTTGGTTGAAAACCTTACCGTTGTAGACACCAATGACGGAACCGATCATCTCGGGAACAATGATCATGTTACGGAGATGGGTCTTGACAACCTCAGGCTTTTCACCAGCGGCAGCAGACTTCTTGGCAGCACGGAGCTTCTTGATGAGACCCATAGGCTTACGCTTAAGACCACGTTGGAATCTTCTACGAGCACGACAGTGAACGAGCTCCATGAACTAAAGAATTCCAAATATGTTAGTATGTCGCGCACCCCTTAACTCGATCGTTACTTTTGAATACTTACTTGTTCAGAAGACAAGTCCAAAAGGGCGTCAAGGTCGATACCACGGTAGGTAAACTTACGGAAAGTTCTCTTTCTAGGAGTAGTTTGCTCGTCAGCCTATTTATTTTAACAGAATTAGTATAAGCATATGAGTATATTACGTAAAGCAGAAAAGCAGGAGAGACAGAACTAGAAACATTGTACAATGGGCAGGGTGATATTGACTTAATTTTAGATTTTTGGGTGCCAAGCTGCTTTTAGCGTATAAAATTTGTCGATAAATTCTGCATCCATTTAAAGCGTTGCATATTCCATCAATCCATCGAGTTTAAATCCAACATCGTTTTGCCATGTAACAGTTCTTTCCATCTCTATCCTGTCTCTGCTTCTTTAAATTATCTCCCACATACCATCTTAAAGCACAAAAAGAAGGATTACTATGCTTTCAGCTTTTTTCGGTGTCCATGTCGTTATAGTGCAAGTCCGGTAGACCAAAAACTTGCATCCTCAAAATTAAAATTCTTTCCGGGCCGGACAAAGAGTTTTCTTTACCGAAGAGCGGGGAAATGATTTTAAAGTGTACAGCAATCATTTGTATACAAGTGATCCAGACAATGCTGTAAAAGCATATTGTCTTACGTAGAGTATTTCTCCAAAAGCTCTGCTGGTTCCAGTTATTGTAAATTTTACATGAATTATGATAAAATACGTTGTGTTAATAAGTTTTAGTACGAGGAAATTATTATTTTAAATGAATTTGAACGATTTTTCACGACAGAATAGCCTCGCAATAAAAACTATTACCGATGATTTTTTTTTTTTTTTCGGTTTTTTAACAATTACAATCGGTTTTTCTTAAGATTAGCTCTAAAAAAGCGAGTCCAAGACAGGCATAATGGTTGAGATCGTTTGACTTAGTTTTTACTGCTTATCGTAATTTAACGGTAAATACGGCTGGGTTAAAATAGTGCCAAAAAGGTCACACGCCAAATATGTATGGTAATTGCAGTCCGTATATCCATCAATTATCAATGTACCAAATAATCGTAAGCCAATAATGATCAACGTCGAAAGCTGGCGTATTATTTATAGAATTTCGGACCGCATGTAGTCACTAATGAATAGTGTGTATCCGTAAAAGCCATAAAAATCCGCCGGCCTGTTCACATCGATTCAGATCTTAAAATATCATTAAATGCTTTGCATATTTCCAAATTATGCGCATAGTTTGTGTTCAATCAATAGTGGACACAATCGAAATCAGACAAATATGTTGTAAAAGTAAAACGAAGAAAGGGAACATAAAACAAGGAGTCGTGTAAATCAGCGCCACCGTTTTTAAATGAGCCAAAGTTTTGTCTGATTTTCATAACACAACTGTTATGGTGGGTGTGTTTAGTTTTTGCTTAAAAGAAAAAAAAACGCCTCCAAAAGATGCAAAGCCATGACCATTTGTCTGGATGTTAGATTTTTTTTACCAAAATAATGACATAAATATAACGTTTCATGATATTTCTTACACATTGTTGCAGAAGACGTATGGATGACCTAATGATTATTTCGGGTGATTGAAATTTGTTTGCATAAATCTTGTTTCTCCTCTAATTTTTTTTTTTTTTACTTTTTTTGTTTTTGTTTTTACTTTTCATTGAGCTCTTATGTCACTAGAAGTTCCTTTACTTGTGTCCTCGCCGACAAATATACTCACAATCCAAGATGTCGTACTTGACTCACCTGTTTGGCGAGCCAATGTGTTACATTTGGAAGACCAAATTGATCAATTTGAAAAGTGGATTGACGGCTTTATCCGTGCATTAAAGAATTATATCGAAGCTCTTATAAGTAAGAGCGAAGTTTTCCCAATTTTTATATATAAGCGACCACTCAACCTTTTATATACTTAGAACATAACACATTAGCAACAACTTTATGTAAACGGACTTTCTTGCATGGCTTAGATGGTACCTTGATTGGTAAAGTAAGCTTGGTTATAACATGAAATGCCTTACTGACAGTATAGCTTTACCCAGATTCCAAAATTGCTGGCAATGTGGTCAATAAGTTTGCAACAACATTACAATCGACAATTGCGTATCGTATGAAAACGGTATACCAAATAAAGAAAAGAATAAATCTAACACGCCAAAAAAGGCGCAACATAATTTTAATCCGACGAAAAGAACAATTAATTGTTTATTTTAGGCATCCGATTTAGAAGACCTACTGCTAAACCCTTTACAGCAAATGATCAAGCATGACTTAAAAAGCTTTAAAGTAAGTTTTTGTTTTGTTTTTTCGGCAAAAACCCATCCGTTGATAGAAAAAGCTTATATAGGATAGCAGAAAGGGATTTGATAAAATGCTGGATAAATACGAAACCCAATTATATAGATACAATGTATTGAGCAAACAAAAGGAAGCAAGTGCATTAAGAGAAGATGCTTTTCAAATGTTTGAATTGAGAAAACAATATGTCAAAACTAGTGGTGATTATTTTTCAAAGCTGGTTACCTTTAAGGCTAATTTAGAAAACCTATTGGTGGACTGTTTCTCCGGAGCATTAGGCGCTCATACTGATGAAATCGATGAATCCGTGTATGCTTGTGTGGCTGTAAAAGCTAATTTGTCGGGTTGGAGACAGTGGTTGGACGAGGTAAATGTTATTGTTATTTAAAAGATACATACATATGAGATCATCTGTCTAAATCATTCCATCATCACCAGAGTAAAGTCACATGCGATTATCAAGCACAGAGAATGAATAAACGATGTACAGAACTACAGGATATTTATATTGAGCAAATGAAGCCCCAAAGGTCTTTAAAACGATACTCTGCACAAACTAGTGACAAATTACAGGTCATTGCTTCTCCCAACCCTCATCCTGAAAGTGATGAAGAACCACAAGTCAATAAGGCTTTACCTATGGGTATATCCTCTGCAGATCCTAAAAAGACAGGCAATAAACAAGGTTATTTAAATAGTCGTATTGTAATCACTGGGAAATCTGCTCGGCCTCCTTGGTCTAGGAAATGGTTTTTTTTACAAGGGGGATGGTTTGGAACATGTACTGTCACAACACTGAATAAAGAAAAGGGCTGTATTGTCTTGGGTGATCGGGTGGCAATAAAGGAATGTGTATTTCGTGTAAATACTGATATTGATCGACGCTTTTGCTTTGAGGTGGTTCATCCCAAATGTTCTTTTTATTTGCAAGCCGAGAATGAAGACGAAATGCAACATTGGTTATGGGCCATCGAATACAACAATATGGATCATGGTTCACATAAAAATGAAGTAGAATCAAAATCACCTCAAGCTCTTTTATCTCCTCTGATGGTGGACAATAACTCTTCCGTCGCCATGTCAACATCTCCTTCACTCGATTCAGACAATGAACGAGCCATTACACCAACTGCTTCAACCACTTCATCACTAACAGCGCTCATGATTCGAGAGGGGGAAAATACCATAACAGATATGCCCCAGCCTATTAATACGCAGCAGGATAGTAATACAATTTCTCACCAGTTATCATCGTGGGGTATGCCTTGGCTAAGTACCGGTATCAATGTTCTTTCGAATCCGTCAGAGGAGGATCTTTCCTGCAGTCCGAACCTAAGGTCGTCTAACAGCAGTACCATTACAAATAGTATCCAGCAACTAGTTGTGTGGCCGACGAAATTAGAAATGGATGTGCCGACTCCTAAAATATCTCATTATTCCGTCGATTTAGTCACTAGCCAACGGGAGTTACGATCGTTGTTTGCCAATGTACCTGAAGATGAAGTGGTGGTAGAATGTAATATCACAAAAAAGAGACGGACAAGTTTTAGTGACTCATTGTTTGTATTCTATAGCTTTCTTGGCTTCATTGTATCGAAAGCCCAGTGATAAAAATGCCGACAATTCTTTATCATACAGTTATAGTGGCATGGTTTATGTAACACAAAAGAGTCTTTGGTTTTACAGCTGTATAATGATGACTTGTGTCAACATGGTAAGTAAGCGATAATCAAAATCGACTCTTTTCTGATTTCACCTCCAAGATTGTTCTACCTTTAGATGAGATAAAGTCAGTGCGTTTAGATAGTAAGGATTTCTCGAGTAACATGCTTATGATACTTGAGTTGAAAACGTCAACATCTTTCAATTTCGGCCTATGGCTTGAATCTCCCGATCAAATCTGCGACCGTCTCAAGTCTATTATCGAGAATTACAAGTCTATGGATACTCAGACCTTGTATGATACCATACGAAATATTACAACTAATAAAAAGACAAAGACACCCACAAGTCATGTCACAACATCTAGTGCATTGTATGCATCTGTGACTCCATTAACAGTACAGGCACAACAGCAGCCCATACAGCAGCAGCAGCAACAGCAACAGCAGCAACAGCAGTCGCAGTTGCAGTTGCCGTCGCAGCAGCAACAACAACATCAGACCGTATTAACAACGTCATCATCCGCAGATACAACAGATGACACAGATGTCGTACCTACTAAAAAAGAGGAAGAAGCTGTTACTCCACCGCCCATGCATCGTGCCTCGCCTGCTCAAGGCGCTTTAGCGGCAGTCTACAATGCATCCAAGAAAAAGTCAAATCTTTCTGTTCTAAAACAATCCGATAATTCACAAGCGTCTTCACAAGTGTTACCGCACCAAAGCACTGCGGAAGAATGGCCTAGTCATGTACCTAAGCCCAAGGAAAAAATCCATTGCGAATGTACAGACCATCTGGATAAAGTAGAAGCTGATATAGTTTTACCTATAGGAGCTAAACACGTATTTGATCTTATGTATGCCACAGATATATGGGAGAAGCTGAACAAATCCAAAAACTATACAGAGCCTACATTTTCAAGCTGGTCCCAAAATGAAGAGGTTTTGGAACGCACAGTGAATTACGTGATGCCAGTGACCGCGCCCATGGTGAAGGCAAAAGAGACAGATGTAGTTGAAACTCAACAAGTTCTGTATCAGAAAGAGTATATTTGTTATGTAATAATGGTGACGACAAAAACACCTAATTTGCCATATGCGGATGCGTTCATACCCTGTGTAAAATATTGCATTACCTATGTGTCTGCATCTAGCTGTAGACTCGTGTGTTCGATTGGTGTCAAGTGGCTTAAAACCATATTCGTTAAGGGAATGGTAAACAAGGCGGCAGCAAAAGGTATGGCAGAAACTGTGGAAAAAATTGTGCCTATTCTTCAACACGAAGCATCAAAAGGAACTAGTATTGAAAACAATAATAACCATCACGACACCATCAAAGCAAAAAATGCCGAGTTGCCACCCATTCCAAAAGATGAGCCGGAGAAGACGACGAGTGCATTCAATAAAAGTGCAATTTTATTTGGACTGGCCTATGTTGTATTCATGATATATCAGCTACACCTATCAAAAAGGTACGAGTCGCTTTTACATCAGACAGAGAGTAATGGTACCAGCATGGTATGGAGAGGTGTCTATCTGCGTGATTTACAGGATAAAGTAACAGAAAAAGCTGTGGTGTTAAGTCATGTCAATCCAAATGTATACGAATTATTCCAAGAAGCTAGAAGCAATGGCACTGCACAACAATGGAAATATCCATGGTTTAGCAAGCTACACAGAGACATGGCGGAAGAATTGGGTTACTCGAGAGAAAGATTAGGTGCGATTCGATATGAATTACTTTCGACATTTCGCATCCTAAATCGAGTCGAATATCAGTTGCTTGAGATTGAATACTGGAATTGGCTTTCAGATCAAAAATTAATGTGTAGCAATCAGGACAAGTCTCCTGTTTGCAAGGAAATTGCTAAAGAGCGTGACGCTTAAAAAATTTGCATACATCAAATGAAATTAATAAAAAAAAAAAAAGTTGTTTATATTACAATTTTCAAGAAAATGTGGAGAAAGAAAAGTAAATTAGATGATTCAGACACACGCAGCTTGACGATCACTCAGAATTTGGAGGGAGCAGTACATTCCCTTACCGAAGCCAATAAAACCATGGGTCATACATTAAACGCACTCATGGATTTCACCAAAGATTCACATCGCCAGGCACATGCGACACAATGTGAAATATCTTACGAACTTGTCACCCAAGAAGAAATCGTGAATGCGAGCCATGAACTCATTCCCGATCTTGTCATAGAGTGCCGTAACTTATTGGAAAGAGTGAATCAACATTTATTCGAACTCAAGAAAAAAGAAACAAAACTGAAAGAAGTGGTGAAGGGAAAAGATGCCATGATAGAAAAACTGAAGCACGACATTAATAATGTGCATGGAAACTCAAGAGTTGATATTGTCGATAACGAGAAGAGACTTAGCTTAAGTAGCACGAAAGAAAGACTAATAGAAGAAATCGCAAGAGAAAAGAAAAAAAAGGCAGCTGGACTTGCCAATTTAAAGAAACTTAAGGCTTCTAACGAGGAGGCATTAAATAAACAAAAGGAGGGTCTACTTTCTAGTGAAGGTTGGCAACGATATCAAACAGATTCCATAAAAGAAATAGCACAATTGGTTAGTCGAAAATATTAAATTCATAATTGAAATTAATGAATTACATTAGAAAAGTGAGCATATCAGAAAGCAAAAAGAACTACAGGAAAAGAAACAATTGAAAGAGAGGGAAGCTGATGAAGCTTATTCAGAACGGAAGGACCTTTTAACCACTAAGGGTAAAAGTAGATATACAGAAAAAAAAAGTTTTGTTTATTGACATTGAATTAGAATCCATAGCAACGTTTACCGAGCAATTAAAGACAATTCAAAACGCCATGAGTAAACTCAGAGAATCGGGAACAACTGCATCAGTTACACAATGCGAGCAATTATGCGATGGGTATCTTGGGGCACTACATAGAGAAACAGAAACGTCACCGATTGAGCTAGGACCATCAAAGATTGAAAAGATAAAAACGCTATGCAGGTTGTTACTTGCTAATCGTATGAGTGGTAAAACGACAGGACGAATTATAGAACTATTACTGTCGAAGGGAGAAGTAGGTATTGAAATATTTTTGGAAGAATTCCCGTGGACAGAAGATGAACGACATAATTTTGCCAACGTTACAATTAACCTTGTACAAAATAATATTTTATTGCAAAATGGGACTAATTTTTCATTGAAACAGTAAACAAAATGCACACATGCCCTAAATAAAATCACATGTTTATTTATTTTTTTATACTTCCATTTCATATGCAACTATCTCCTGGAGTTGCTCTAATAAGTTTGGATGTTGATTAAATACTTGATAGACCTTGGCTTCCCAAACTTTATCCGAAATTTCATCCTTGTTTGAGTTTAACAAAGTCTTTACAAAGTCATCAAATTCCTTGTCTCCTTGAATTGACTCTTTGCAGTTTATAAAGAACTGAGGATACGCTTCTTTTGATAAACGATCTGGATAATTTCGGATCAATGATATGTCCACATTAGAGAAATAATCTTCTTTTTCTTCTTTTTCTTCTGGGCCCAAATAACCAACCAATTCTTTAAATTTTTCTAATAATGATGGTACTGCATGCAAGGCTTTTGAAATACGTTTCATCCATTCTTTATCGCTTATTTTGTTTCGATCGCAATAGAGTGTATTTTCAAAACGTGGCCATTTAGAATCCAAATGTTGTTGTAGTGATGTAAAGAATGCCTTATTATGACGTACTAATCCCTTCATTTCACTGGGTCGGTCAAACAACGCAACCAGCATCGAATCTGGAACAATTTGTGCTGTAATATCAATAGTAGGTGATACTACCGTGCAAGGTGATAAAAGCTCTTCTTCAATGTTATTCTCTGTCGGTGGGAGATCAAATGTAACAGAGCTTTTACGACGGTGACTGGTCGTGTCAATTGGCGGAGTCAGTGAAGTATTGGTTTCTTGCGAAGGTGAGAAAATCATGTAAGAAGTAGACATTGAAATGAAGACAAAACAAGAATTAAAAAAAACCAATTTAGAGTTATATACTTTTCCGTAGAAATTATTGCAAGTCACCATGGTCTCATGATCTACCTCTCTGTTTGCTCTATTTGGAATAAGCCCTTTCACTTTACCCATATTTAAAGAGGCGATATCACTTATTTTGATGCATTTTGTTTTCCTCACCTTCCACCCTATTCAATTTTGATCTAAACGCTTCCTCAATGAAGACGTCTAACTTATGCATGGTAAAAATCCCCTTTTATTATCTCTCTACCCAGGATTCAATGCAGCAATAACGAAACGACAGCTTCACTGTACTCACTTTCACTGTTTCTGGTTCTGGTTTGTTCATATTGGGAATATCAGCTTTCAAATCAGTCTTGTGGACAGTGATAAATCAATAGGTAATAGCACATGCTTTACTTGACAAAGAAAACATTGGATTTGAGCTTTCCAAAGATCCAATGACATATTTGATCAAAAAGGAGGGTGGGAAATAAATTTCTGGCCAATAAAAACGGAGAAGATCTTTTTCGAAAAAGTGGCCTTTTTTATCTTCTTCCATGGACACGGTTTCCTTACCATTTGATCATAATTTATTAATAGATAGAGCTTATATTGTAGCCTGATAATTATGAGTGATGGCTAAAAATGTAATATATCTGGTTACTCATCAACAAGTCACGAAAAGCAGAAGAAGGGCTCTTTTTATCTTTTCATTCAAGATTTTAAGCTCTACAGAATAGCTGCTTGACTTATGTAGAAAATGTAATGGAGGCGTTTTCTTATACATTCCAAATTATAATTCAATTTGTTTATTGAACGAGAATTAAAAAGTGCATTCTAGGGAACTCTTAGTTACTAAAATGAATCTACGCCAGTACTTTAAAAGCATTAAGTGGTTATTATGTCAGTCTTTTATCATTTGCAAGGGTAATTTAACAAAAAAACTCAGCAAAATCAACCAGCATTGATTTTGTTGTCTAAGGAATGTCTGTCATAGCATATCGACCCTAAATTGGGCTTGAACAGAATAAACTTCCAATCCCTTTTTATTTCCGCTGTTTAAAAACAGCATTGTTTGTTCAACACATCAAAAAACAATGACGACTATGGTAACATGATGACTACGGCTGTTCGAAAATACGCATATCAGATTACAAGATAATTTTTTTAATAATGGCCAATGGCTATCCTTTGATAATGATGTGTCCTATTATTGTATGTCTTATAATATGGCGATGAGACCTGAATGATTCAATAAATTGGTGTGCAACACGAAATGACACATGACGTTAGAATATTCTTTAATGCTTTAAATAACAAAGAAGGGCCGTAATCGCTAGTCATTTTAGAAAACAAAATCCAGAAAAACAAATAACGTCAATATTTTTTTAGCTGTCTAATATCATAGACGATAGTTGTAAGAATATCGCATTATTATTTTTCAAAAAGGAAGGAATAATTCTGCAAAACAAATCAACATTAATAAATAGACGTGTACCATCCATATGTGCATATTCGGAGCCCCAGCCCAGCTTTTTGTTAGCTTAGATGGTTTGTAAGGATTAAGAGCCCCTTGATAAAATGAACCGCAGAGAAACGATAAATAAGTTTAGGGCGAAAGTTTGTTTATTGTGTTCAAAGGAGATTTGAGCCGGGAGCAAGAAATGAAATAATGTGTAACCTCACAATGCTTGCATCGTTAAGATATATGTATATTTCTCTACCAATTGAAGATTTCAGCTAGCATATGGTTTAAGCTTCTCGTAATAAGCACGTCTTTGAAAATCGTTGACTGTAAGTAACCTTGAAAGTGTCTGTGTAGATAGGTTTGTCTTCAATAAATGTCACAATTTGCTGTAGTGTAGGCACCTTCAGATCAAACTTCACATGTCCATAATTACATATTATGTGAAGTTCTTTTTGATGAAGCTTCATTCATGGCAGATGAAATGAGTTGTTGAAGTTGATCAAGATAGTACCCTACACGGAAGGTTCCATGCTTACACCGAACTGCCATTGTGTGATCTAGAAAATTATTTTTCCCGAATGTGTGACGGTTATCATGATTAATAAGAATAATCCTTCAAAAATCTATTTGATAAAAAAGAGACAACTTGTTTTTTCCTCATTCACTTTTATTTTCTTTTATCTTGTTTTCTAATCTGTTACCATGGATACAAAACAGTGGGTGGTAAATCACCAAACTGATTCAAGTGGTCAACCATGGTCTGGCATGTGTAGAAACCCAGAAGGCTTTGTAAGTAACACTTGTTTCTGTTTTCTATCTACACTTAGTAACTCGTACATTGATAGGGCCCATTTTCTGTATATCGAGTACCAGATTTCACACCCTGTTTTGAAGACACGTGAGTTTTATGTATTCAGGAGGAAAAACTACAGATCTAACACCATTTTTAGTGTGATTACATTTATTCCTTATGTCTTTGTTATATTTACTGGCATGATCAGACTTTGGATTCTATCCAAAAGAGAGCCTTTATCATCAGATATGACTCGCAATTGGCTTTACTTTGCAAAGATGGTAAAAAAAAAAAATGATGAGCTAGTGTTGGATCAGAAAGCTAATGTTTCTTTAGACGACGTTATTATTGCTTTTGTTTACTGCTATCTCAGCCTTCACTCTTTCTATTTTGGATGTTGGAATTGAATGGATTAATGATGCTCAGATTTTGTCACAGGCTTTAACGATTTTAGTCTTGGTAAAAAAAATACGAGAATTGTTAAAACAAATCTGACAATAGAGTCATCTAACGCAATTTTTTTTTTTAGATATTCGTAACTGGATTGCATCATATTGAATACACACGTAACCGTGTCTCATCTGCGACCCTATTATTTTTCTGGTTATTTGTTTTAGCAGCCGATGGCGTCAAATTGCGTACTCGTATCATGAATCATGATTATGACACCAATGCTATTCAATTCGCCTTATTCTCTTTAAGCTATGCTTTATCATTGGTCATTTTTGCTTTAGAAAACAAAGATAGGCCTAAGAGCCAATATATCATGTTGGAGGAAGATGAGGTATTAAAAGACAATTGGGCTATAAATAGTTGCCACTAACACATAAGTTAAAGCACGATTCCCCCGAAGAAAAAACAAATATCTTTGGTAGACTTACATTCAGTTGGATGACACCTCTGATGAGATTAGGTTACCAAAAACCTTTAGCCATGGATGATTTATGGTAAAAATCGATGATTAGTAATCCATGCTGCGGACCATTTTCTAAGTCAGATTTATTTGCTAGGAATCTTAAATCAGACGACCAGTCAGCCATTGTTGGTGCTAAGTTCCAAGAGAATTGGAGAAAGGAAATGAGTAAAGCAAAGTAAGCCTACTAAAAAAATAATATTGGATAACGAAATAAGGATGAATTTAACGGTTTTTGATAGACCTTCTCTTTTACGTGCTCTTGTAAAAACCTTGGGTGGACCCTTCTTCTTGGCAGCTGTAAGTGTGAAAAATAGGATTAAAATATATTTGGACAATGTTAACATTCGGCCCTATTTTAATTAGCTTTTCAAAGCTCTCCAAGATATTTTACAATTCACCCAACCTTTGCTTTTGAAAATTTTGATGAAATGGGTAACGAGTTACAACTCCGATGAACCTCAACCTGCATACCGAGGTGTCTTTATAGCGGTTGCCATGTTCTTTACAGCTATCTGTCAAACAATGTTCCTTCACCAATATTTCCAACGCTGCTTTATGACCGGTATGCGTCTTCGTGCTGCTCTCGTTACGTCCATTTATCAAAAAACTTTGGTGTTGAGTAACGCTAGTCGTCAAAAGTCAACAGTAGGAGAGGTAAGGATCGATTTGTATTATGAACTGTGTGTATTTTTGTCTAACCACAATTATACGATAGATTGTTAATCACATGAGTGTAGATGCTCAAAGATTAATGGATTTGTGCACATATTTCCATATCGGTAAGATTTAATAATCCTGCAAGCTAAAAACAAAGCATTAATATTTTAACAGTTTGGAGTGGACCTTTGCAAATTATCCTTGCCTTATTTTTCTTGTACAATACTATGGGGCCCAGTATTGGCGCCGGTGTTGGAATCCTTATTCTTGCTATTCCCTTGAATACTTATATTGCCCGTAAAATGCGTGGATACCAAAAAACACAGATGGGTAATAAGGATTCAAGAGTCAAGTTGATGAATGAAATTTTAAACGGTATTCGCGTCATCAAATTGTATGCTTGGGAATCACCTTTCTTGGAAAAGATCAGTTATATTCGTAACGAACTAGAATTAGCTACCTTGAAAAAGATCGGTGTTCTTTCTGCTGTTCAAAACTTTACTTGGACCTCTATCCCTTTCTTGGTCTCTCTCACTACATTTGCTGTCTATGTGACTATTTCTGACCACCCCTTGACAAGTGATATTGCATTTGTAGCCATCGCTCTCTTCGGTCTGTTGCAATTCCCCCTTACTGTCTTCCCTAACGTGATAACATCTACTATTGAAGCTTCTGTCTCTCTTTATCGAATCGAAAACTACCTTTCTTCTGAAGAGATTGATGTTAACTCTGTCACGCGCTCGGACTACCGTAATGATCCTACTTTCACCGAAGAAACCCCGCTTGTTGAAGTGAACAATGCTAAAGTTAAGTGGTCTCTTGAGGATCCCAAGCCTGTTTTGAGTAACATCAACCTCAAGGTTAAGAAGGGTGAAGTAACCGCTATTGTAGGTCGTGTGGGCTCAGGTAAGTCTTCCTTGATCAGTGCTTTATTAGGTGATACCGTCAAGTTAGAAGGTGATGTTATACTCCGTGGTTCTGTCGCCTATGTACCTCAACAACCCTGGGTCATGAATGCTTCTTTGCGTGACAATATCGTTTTTGGCCATCGTTGGGACCCTCATTTTTATGATCGTGTTTTGGAGGCCTGTTCTTTGAAGAGTGATATTGCTATATTGAATGGTGGTGACCAAACTGAAATCGGTGAACGCGGTATTAACTTGTCTGGTGGTCAAAAAGCCCGTGTATCTCTTGCCAGAGCTATTTACGCTCGTGCTGATATTTATTTATTGGATGATCCCCTTAGTGCTGTTGATGCTCATGTCGGTCGTCACATTTTTGATAATGTAATTGGCCCTGAAGGTATCTTAAAAAACAAGGCTCGTGTTCTTGTCACCCATGGTATTTCTTATTTGCCCCGTATCAATCACGTTGTTATGTTGCGTGATGGCGAGATTGCTTTAAGCGGTACTTACAGTGACCTCATGAGTCAAAAATCCGAACTTTATGCTTTGATCAACGATTTCGGTAACCAAAGCAACAACAAGGCTCCTTCTGAGGATGAAATTACAGTAGACGATGAGGATGTACTTCAATCAGATACCGCGTCTATTGAACTTGTTCCTCGTGAGGAAGATGCTACCTTGCATCGTCGTCGTCAACGTATGAACAGCGATGCTTCTATAATGAGTGCCAAGACTCTTCGTCGTGCTTCTCTTGTATCTCTTAACAAAAAGGGAAAGGCACAAAATGGCGGTAATGACCGTTTGATTACTGTTGAAGAAAGTGCGAAGGGTAGCGTAACTTGGGATGTGTATAAAGAATATGCCAAATCTTGTTCGTTCTATGGTGTTATCGTCGTGCTTTTATTATTGGTTCTTGCTCAATTGGCTTCTGTCGGTACTAACTTGTGGTTAAAATACTGGTCTTCTCACAACCAAAATGAAGGCACGAACGATGGTATCTGGTTCTATCTTAGTATCTATGCTCTTATTGGCTGGTCTTCGACCTTGTTTGCAATGGTCCAAACCCTTGTTCTATGGGTATTCTGTGCTATTCGTTCCGCCCGTGTCTTACATTCTGAAATGCTGGAGACTATCATGCGTTCTCCCATGTCATTCTTTGATACTACTCCCTTGGGCAGAATTTTAAATCGTTTTAGTAAAGATCAGCATACTGTCGATGAAGTTTTACCCAGAACTTTCAATGGATACTTCCGTGTACTTTTTTCTGTCATTTCTACAATTGCCATTATTGCGTTCTCGACTCCTCTCTTTATGATTTTGGTAATTCCTCTTGGTTGCATTTATATTTATGTTCAGCGTTACTACCTTACCACATCTCGTGAATTGAAACGTTTAGATTCAGTTGGTAAGAGTCCCATTTATTCTCATTTCCAGGAAACTATCTCCGGCGTCTCTACAATTCGTGCCTATGAACAACAAAATCGCTTCATGTTTGAAAATGAAGGTAAATTAGATGATAACCAAAGGGCATATTTCCCTTCTATCTCCTGTAACCGTTGGCTCGCTGTTCGTCTCGAGTTTTTGGGTTCCATCATTATCTTAGCCGCTGCATTATTTGCTGTACTTGGTGTTGTGTATGGTTCCTCTAGAATCGATGCTGGTTTGGTCGGTCTTTCTGTTTCTTATGCATTGAATGTAACTCAAGCTTTAAATTGGGTCATTCGTTCTTACTGTGAAATTGAAACGAATGTTGTTTCTGTTGAACGTATCAAGGAATATATTGATTTACCTACCGAGAAATACAACGCTGTTCGTGGCGTGAGTCCAATGTGGCCTGAAAAGGGTCTGATTGAATTCCGTGATTACGCAACACGTTACCGTCCTGGATTGGATCTTGCGTTACGTGATTTGTCATTCACCGTTGCACCAAAAGAGAAAATTGGTATCATTGGTCGTACTGGTGCCGGCAAAAGTTCATTGAGTTTAAGTTTGTTCCGTATCGTTGAAGCAGCCAAGGGATCTATCTTTATTGACGGTGTTGATATTTCCAGTCTTCGTTTGTTTGATCTTCGGTCCCGACTCACTATTATTCCTCAAGACCCAGTGTTGTTTGCTGGTACTGTAAGAGATAATTTAGATCCTTTTGGTACCCATGATGACGCCGAACTCTGGCAAGCATTACATCATTCTCACCTTGGAGAATACATCACCAAGTTAGACAACAAACTGAACGCAATTGTTCTTGAAGGTGGTGAGAATTTCTCTGTTGGACAACGTCAATTAATATGTTTAGCCCGTGCTCTTCTCCGTAAAACAACAATTCTTGTTCTCGATGAAGCTACTGCTGCTATTGATGTAGAGACGGATTCTATCATTCAAGAGACTATTCGTAGTCAATTTGCCCACTGCACAATCTTAACCATTGCTCATAGAATCAATACTGTTTTGGACTCTGATAGAATTCTCGTCTTAGACAAAGGTTCTATTGCTGAATTTGAATCGCCTACTAAACTATTAGAAGACAAGCAATCTATCTTCTATTCTATGGCGAAAGAAGCTGGTCTTACTGAGTAGATGTTTCTTTCTTATATTAAGAGAGGGAATTTTGTATATCTATTTTGGACTCTTTATATTTATCATCTCAGTTTTTTTTTTTTTTTTATTGATATCAATTTATTAAACATTTTTCTTGTAAACAAAGTAAATTAAAGAGGGATTAAAAATTGCTCGCCAAATGAAGTAATTTACTGAGTGCGATTTAATGGATGCAGGTACAAAGCGGAGTATGATTGTCCGAACATATGTGATGATCTTTCCGTCAAAGTTTCCCTAGTTTAATTTATGGGGTTCAACGTATACCTAATGTGGTAAAATGTAACGTTACTATTCTGTCAAACGCCTGCAATTGGCCAGTGTGCTTATGATATTACAAAGAAGTATTACGTGGATCGGATCACAGCGGATATACATAAATGAATTAAACAACAATGTCATTATTTTAATTTATAGTCTGAAATTTTGAATCCGGATTTATTTTGTTCCGAGAAGCTCTTTAAACACTAGTGAACGAGTCAAGTAGATGTTTGTTTGTGCGTATCAATTGATATGGCTCTGGTGTCTTACTTCTATGTTATAATAAGCATGCTTATCCAATTGTCAAAAAAAGAAAGCATTTCTCAACTCTAAGTTCCTTATATGGTATATGATGACACGAGTTGTGTACATGTTTTGCTTATAAACCATACTACCGTCAGGCATACCATTAATGATCAAAAATGGTGTTCTAAGAATAATATGTTAAACACACATGAGGGTGATAGCCTTCCTTGTAAATGCATTTTATCGATAGATGCCCAGCGTAGATTGTATCTTTTTTTTAAAAACCTTGCCTATCTAGGATCTCAGGTTACTGTTATACAAAAAAATATGCAGAACAGCATCTGAGTGTATAGCTACTTTCCTTATGCGTCGACATCTCCCACTTGAAATTTTGTCATCTTAATGCACGCGTATCCACATAATTAAAGATATGCAGCATATAAATGAATTATGTAACTTGGTCACAAAAGACAGAATTTTTAATGGATCGCGGATAAACGCCGGGCCAAATACACAAAAAAACAGAAAACCGTAGCTGTCTATAAGCTTTCATGTATCACCAAAAATTCTAGGCCAAAAACTGGTTTTTTCTTTATCTTTTTTCTTTTTATTAGGAATACAATTAGTAGGTTAGAGATTCCTAATGGGCTGGTTTCTTTTTGCGTTTAACAATTGATAGAGAGGGAGAATAAAATATGTATGATAAAATGAGTCAGGTCGAGTTCTATTCGTCTTCTCTGATTTCAGATCAGGATTGTATAATGATATCTTCGAACAATCTCCGCGAAAATGAACTATTCACTAAGTCCAACTGTGCTTTTGTTTGACCTACCACTTCTTATTTATATAGAGAAACAAACCATTCCTTCTGCATTATTTTTCAATCATATTTCCTATCTGTCTTAAATCATATGGTACATATTTCTGGACTAACGTGACAATCGTTATTTTTACAAACAAAGCCCGGTTGATTGTTTAATTTACAGGCTGACCAGCGGAGATTGTTTAGACGAGCAACTCCGTTTTTTTTTTTTCATAGTTCCAAAAACAACAAACATGGTAGCCATACACCTAGCTTTCGAAATTTCGGGATCCTTTCACATAATCATATATTGATGACTTTCTAATACTATTTGTAAATAATGTTATTTTTAGGATTGTTCGAATAATGGTCAAAAATGCTTCTGACATTCTAATTAGTAAATTTTACGTGATTTTTTATAAAAAAAAAAAAAAAAAAAAAAAAAAAATTAGGTGGGGAAGTCAGAATGTTAAATGGATCTTTTAATATTGTTAATCCTCTTCTCTCTTTCAATTTTTTTTTTAAAAAAAAAATATGGTAAATTGAAAAACAAGTAAACAACATATAAAATACTATACAAGGAACCACTCAAGACTAATCTAGAAACCTTTTTTCTTTTATTTTTTACGACGTTAAAAGGTCTTTGGAATCGATTTCTATTTTATTTATAATAGATTTATCAAGTCTCTGTATCCCGTTCTGATAAGTAAAACTTTTCTCAACTGAAAAATTATTTCTCACACTAGTTTGTTAGCTGATATATTAAGTGATAATCGGTTCACCCAACTTTTTTTTTTTTTTTAAAAAAAAAAAAAAAACTATTCTTATCTTTCAGGTGTGATAGATATTGCTTGGCGCATATATGTAGAGCATCGGTGGTATTCTCTTGCATTAAATATTTGTTACTGGTAGAATAAGGGAGCAAGTGATAGGAAATAATTGTACTTTCAGCGTGATATTTAAGTATAGTTATGGATGGCAAGTTAAATGTGGACCTGAAGTAACTGGCTGCTCCAACGATTGTTCAAGGAGCTTACCCTTTTCCTTTGTAGAGCTTTTTTTTTTCAGTATAATAAGACCTTGTTGACGATCAATCATTGAAAGGATTTAATATTTAAATCATCACGAGTAAATCGCACCAGTCTGAATACAACGGAAGAGGATCACTTATGTGTGACGGATGAACTGGCTTCTATTCCTGATCTAATTGCACCTGTATGAGTATGCTTTATTGCGATTCTGCGTGCCACCAATATAATTGGTAAAGGGACTCGGTACCTTGTTACATAGACACTAGTTTCCTCCCCGCCAAGTCTATATAATTGATTTCGAAAAGTAAATAGATAAGTTGGGACATCTAGAATATCACAATAAGAAAATAGAGAAGGAGAGCAATACATGACATTCAAACGGTTGTATATGAAACTAGTTATCATATGATGGTATAACTATCTCATTGTCGAACGTAGTACATTTTTAAACGAAAAGATATGTATACTATGACTGCGATTAATAAAAAAATGTGTCATAAAAAGAAAAAAAACTTTAAAATGACAAAGCGACGTTCGACCATATAACTTGAGGATATTCTAACTCTAATTTACAAGCGACGACATGGGAAAAACACGGGTTTCTTACTAACCTGGAATATGTTCTTTATTTAGATGTTTACATGATATTCATGTTACAGTCGGTTAATTTAATAGTACCGTAATGAGTGTGGCAAATTTAGAACGAGGAGAAGGGCCCTTCATTTATGGGCGGTCCGAGCACTATCGGCGTATGTAAAAACGATCTTCTGATTCACTTGCAATATGTACGACTACTTGGATCCTACTAATGATACTATCATTATAAACATTGGTAATTTCAGAATCCCATATTTTGGAAAAAAATAACAAATAAGGAATAAAATATATAGGCAGTCCAGTAAAAAAAAAGTTTGTATACGGGAATCTCGCGCGATTTCCAGAGCACGAAACTTGAGAAAAATCAGTCATCATCATCCGGCTGCCTAAAAAACTTGGGAATATGTTCTATATTAGGCTGCTGTATGGCCTTCTTAAAATACAATAAAATAGAAAGTTTTTGTCTTTTGTAACATAAATACTATTGAAATCCAGATAGCACTGTGAACCATCAACGTAAATGACATGCTTTCCGTTCCATTGCAATATGATTCTAGCTCCATTTGAATTGATTCTTGCCAACAACTGGTTTTTTAACAAAAAAAAAAATTTTTAAAAAAAAAAAAAAAAAAAAAAAAAAAAAAAAAAAAAAAAAAAAAAACTACTGATACTCCGTTTAATTTTGCACACGTTTTTGAACTCGACTTGAAAGACTACTTGTTGCTCCATATTACTTATACACGTGTGTTTACCTACCTAGAAGGTACTATTCTCTCACCAGAAAGTTAATCTAATAAAAAAAAAATCCGTTTATATTTTTAAGCGCAAATAATCATTTTAGGTGGAATTACAAAATATTATAACAACGAGCCACTCAAAATTGCCTTTTATAATTCTTAACAGTTAGTGTGTTTTGTTCTATTACCTATGTGCATTTGTAACGAAGCCTATTATGGGCCAGTGGCACACTGTTGTTTATTGTGGAAGTCAAGGTTTATGTAATATATTTCTTAGCATCGTGTTATTCAACCGAAGAGAAAAAACTTTCTAGAATTAAACAAAGGGGTTTATACAGTTTTAATAATAGTAATAATAAACCACGAATGATTCGATATAATAACAAGTTTAAATTACAGCTTTGAATATGTTCATATGTTGGAAAGAATTGAGTTTGGATAATTATATAAATATTAGAGGGTATTATGTATGTGTGATATAATAACGGTGTATGCAGTTTGCTGCAACGTATTTTACATAAATCGGGTTTGGTGATTTTCGAAAAACTAAAATCGTAAATTCCAGCCCTATTTTTCTTTTCTTTTTTTCTTTTTTTATGATGTATACATCAGGGGTTCGGTGGTGGTGTGGTGGGGGGTGATGGATCTGGTCTGGGAGGAGGTCTAGGGTTATAAGGCCTAGGTCTTCTGTATTCCGTATAAGCACAGTAGCATATCTTGTCAACAGTACTCATTAAATTATTTGATGTCAACCAGTCGCCTGATGCTAGGTAGGTACAGATCCGTAAAAGTATGTGTACAAAGTAAGCCAGTGTTGAATGTAGATTATAGGTTTTACTGTGTTGACCGTCGTGATTTTTCCTTCGATTAAATTTTGTATCATAAACCCAAACACATGAATTGTCTTTTTTTAAAAATCTTTTAAAAAATGAGTGCCTAATATGCATACATATAGAATTCTGCTTACCTTTATATTTAAACCCTGAATTAAGCGAATACGCGAGCCAAAAACTGAATGTGTGTTAATAAATATGAAAATAAATCAATAGGAGAAAAAAAAGTCACCCTAATTTTATTCTTTTATATTTATACTTTCTGAGCTATTTTCGAAGAAGGAAAAAAAAATATTGTCACACTTTTATTTCAAAATAAAATAAATAATAAATATAGAAGGACGTATGTCAAACATAAGATATAACCCTATTTTATGTCATTCGCTGTCTGTCCTACATCTAAACACTTTTCGTTTCCCCGAATCGTTTATTCGGTTTTATAATTGATAATTGACCCACATAAAAATAAAACAGTTTTATGAAGTCAAGGTCCGAAGATGTTTGGAATATAAGCTATAGCCACCACCCTAAAAACATGAACCTCCCAAGATTTGGGGAGGGTTAAGCAAG